CACCAGATCAAATATTTTACTTGTGAAAGAGAGTGGACAACTTTGATAGGTTATCTTGCTGTCCCCCTGTGTTATGTGTAAACTCATTAAGACCCAATTCACACTAATCTGCTCTTTTCAAAGCTCAATATTTTGGCCTGTCTAACACCAGACTATTTTGCATTGTTTGTTGTTAACACATTTAGATGCAATTCATCCTAACACTCCCCACTTTCAGTACTTTGATAGTTAATTATCAGATGATTTTACTCATCAAGATCAGTGTTGGTTATTGAAAGGTTAATAATTAACTGCAAAAGCTGCTGTGTTGGCATATTTAGAAGCAATGTGCCCTACTTTTAGTACTTTGTTATTTTATTAAATATTTATTCCATTAATGTGCCAGACTCTCCACTTAACAAATAAAATTGTCTGTCATTAGACATATAGTAAAACATAATGATTTGGCATTTGACAGAGTAAAGTTGTCTTCCGTTAGACAGAGTAAAATAATAAATTTGGTGCAAAAATGCTTGTTGGAAATTTGGCTGCAGAATATAGGGTATAAATTTTCTGTCAGTATAATCATTTTTGTCAAATCTGGCAAAATCTCGACGTTTGAATTATTTCGTCCTGCAGATGATAGAAGTTGTAGAAGGATCATGTTTTATCACATATAAAACACTCTGCTACGCGTTGTGTTTTATATGTGATAAAACACTCCTACTCATTTATTAAACAGTACTTAATATTTATACTGTACAACTATAGTTTTATAAATATTTACTGAACTGATTATATTAAAACATAAAATTATAGCCTATAGTATTAGGTCATAAATCCTCACAACCCCTATAATCCTTCTGAGAATTTTAAAATGGAGGTGTGTTGATTTAATCAGACTGTAGTGAGTGTAAATGTCTGAATAACTGCATTGACCTGGATTTCATTTTCTATTTATAATTTTTTTAGACGTGTGTTTACCTGGAATGACAACAAGGATCTCTTGCTGCTTAAGGAAATAACTGCTGAGGGTGTCCTGCAGCATAAATCAAAGTCGAGGGAGAGGGGAGCATGTTGGCTTGTGGCAAATAATTTAGGGAACAACTTCCCAAATGTCGAGGTCACATCACGTGCTGTGCGAGACAGATACAGAATGCTTGAGAGGAGGCATAAGAGTAAAATGGCAGAAGAAGAGAGAGCGACTGGGATAAGTGGGGAGGAATTAACAGAAGGAGATGCATTATTGGAGGAGCTGACTGAGGTGAATGAGGAGACAGAATGAAGAGTAGAAGAAAATAACATCCAGAAGAAAGCAACTGTGGAAAAGGAAAGAGGTCAGGCATTGGAGATGAGGCAAAGAGCGATGGAACGGATTGGTGAAACAAGACAACAACAACTTTATTGTACTTCAAAGTATTACAATCTTACATATATTGAAAAAAAAGACAAATACATAAACAATTGGAGAAGTACATGTCACCTGTAATAACCATTAATAAAGCGACAACTGCATGGAAATGATGATAATGAGAAAAAGAGGAGAAAGTCAGGAGAGACATTTGAATGGTTACGGGAAAAGGCAGAATTCGACAAAACAATGAAAGAAGAGGAATTAAAAGAAAGAGGAGAGGAGCGGGTCAGTCAAAGGGAAGAGAAAATGATGTTTGTGCAACAAATGCAGTTGATGCAAGAAAACAATAATACACAGGTCAGCCAAATCATGCAACAACAAGATTACCAGCAACAGCAACAACAATTCTCAATGACGCAACAACAGATGCTGGCCATCATCCAACAACAACAACAAACACAAGTACTTGTAAATCTCTTTAAAAATAACCAATCCAATAATTAGAACAATTTAATGCATTTTAATGACATTTAGGGACTGTTGACATGAGCGTCTTTAGCCTGGCTGGCCTGGTTAATAACAGAGCCTGGTTGTTTGTCGGGGATCTTGCTTGAGACAATCGGGTTGCCCAGCTGATATTTTTCATGTATAGTCACCAGCCCCTGCTACCAGGCTAGCAAAAAACCTCTTTGCATGCAACATTATTTGAATTAGTATTTTTGGATAACTAGTTGTTTGAACTTAATTTAAGGTGTTCATGCTGATTAAGTGGTGTTAAATTGAAAATGTGAACAGGTTTTTTTGCACCATATATGCTTGATTCAGTCTCAGCCTGGTTAACAGTGCCAGCCCAACTAGCCAGGTTCATGTAAACAGCTCCTTGACATTTAAAGTTGTCCAATATTTATTTAAAAATGTTATTTATCTAAAAAGTTGAATTCTGTTATTTATTTAAAAAGTTGAATTGAAAAATATATACTGTAAATCTTCTCAATTTTAAACATATGACTTGGTATAGCTTGGTATGTTTATAATTCATATAATTAAGTGGCAATGCGCCCTACTTTATTCTTTTATTCTGTATAATGCCAGACAATTTTAGTTGTCAGGGTGAGTCCTGCTGCCACTCAATGACATAAATGGGTTATTGTGTAATATATGTTTCAACCAAATCATATATAGACCTTAGGGCCTTTGTAGAGGATTTACAGTATTCACAGTATTGCAATTTCCAAGTACTGTTTATAATTGTGTTGAATGAATGTAAAATAATATAATGCAATATAGTTGTAATATTAATATTATTAATTATTGATTGTATATAATTGTGTTGAATGAATTGGAATTTTGAATAAAATACATGTTTTTAAACAATATTTGAGCTATGTATTATCAAAAGGTGATGTAAAATACTCATAGCTTGGAACAAGATGCAATTTGGTGTATTTACGCAATAATTAGTCAAAAATTTAAAAGTTATATTAATAGAAATGTCATCACTCACCAAAAATATTGATGCAAAGAAGGTGGTGGAAGTCCAAAATAAGTTGAAACAATGGTAACATAAAGGCAGGTATGAGCATTCTCAAGCAAAGCACAAATAACATATGTTTTCCCAATAGCACTTAAATTAATTTTCATTTGCCTTTTAAAGTCAACAAAACTAAAATATTTGGTGATGTTTCCAAACATCTACTCTACAGCCACTCTGAGATCGCTCATTGATCTGTTATACTCTTGCATTTCTGGAGTTAGTTGCGGTTCCTTGAATGGCCCTTGAAGGTGTACTCCCAAAGGATAAGCTGGGTCACCATAAAGGGCATAGTGGCTCATTATTGTAGAAGGCAATGCGTCTTAGGTTGGGCAAAACACCAGACTCGTGCAGCAAGGTGCTATCATGACGCTTCCCTTTATATGGGCCAGAAAGATTACCAAATAATACTATTTGGGAGTACAATGCTCTGGAATTTGATAGCATGTACCCTTTTATGGCCATTGTACATGATTCGCTGGTGGTATTTAGGTCGGGCTATCGGTCTTACAGTCCCATCCACAAACCCAAAGCAGTTTTGTAAAGGGGCACCACGTTGATGCACTGCTTGGGCATAGGTGTAAAGCTGGTGAGGAAAGGCTGATCCTAACTCTCCAGGCGATGGTGGTGGGTTTCATGAACAATATCCAGCACTAGGTTGAAAATGAGACATAACTCAGATGGACTTCGCCCAAACCGATGTGCCATGTCTGTGTACTGACAAGGATATGCCAACCTTTTCAGGAGAATGCACAATCCTTCCATGCCAGTACAGACCGTCCCTTGCTGGCAAACAAGTTCCTCTGGAATTCATAAAGATTGCTTAAGTGACGCCAAATCTTTTTTCTTAAACTGTAGCTCAGTTTCACATTCAACGTCGCTCCAAGTGTCCAAGTTGAACTCATAAAATTTCCAGTATGGAAAAAGCGGTTTTGATCGATTGTGGTCGTACAGCAACGCAAATTCCTCCTCGTCTATTAGGTTTTCAGCATAGGCAAAAATTAAAGCATCCGGGACAGCTTGAAGGCCACCAACCGCCATGATTTTGGCAATATTGTAAAGCTATATTGTAAAAAATATCACGACATAATGACGATAGCACAAGAAATGTAACGACACAAATTTATTTTGTTTTAAAACTTAATACATGTACATATACATACAGATTTAAAAACATTATTACGAAAAAAATATACGAAGTTTCAACAAGTAACTTATCGATCTCCATATTGTTCTTGAAATGTAAACACTCGCTATGGCTCAGAACTATTCATATTTTCCTCGAAAAATTTAGTTGGTTGCCAGTCCGCTTAAAAATTGTATAACCACTGAAAAATTGGCAAAATGGCAGCACTGAAGTTCGATAGTTTCGATTGTGCAGCTTACAGCGTCGTCTTTACGTCGTCTTGCCAAATGTAAATCACTTTACATTCACAACACGACGACATAGCCGACCCAGTTCTCTCACGCCATCTCACGTCATCTTAGAAGTCGCGTCGTCTTTTCTAAATCTGTCTAATGGGGATATTACAAACCCTATAACCATTGCAAATCAATTTTGTGATTATTTTACCAATATTGGCCCGAAATTAGTAGTCAGGTGGCTTAGTATTCTTTTTTATGATTTTTGTTACCTGTCGGATAAAAGCACCAAATTTGGCATGAGACTGCCTTTAAGTCTATTGATTAATTTTAGGCTAGGAGCCCTCCTAAGATATCTTAAATTTTCCCGCAAATCGTAAAAAGATTCGCGTACGTAGACTGAGCATTTATCAAAATCCAAGATGGCGGACATCCATAAAAAATTAAACACTTTTTGGCTTCTAGGTGTCGTAAAAATGTCAGGATTGTTCCGAATTAGGGGTTTTGAAGGTCGCTGATTTTCATTTTCTTCATAAAAACATCTCAAACTTGCATAACTAAGCTAAAACTCGCGTGCGTTTATTTTGTTACATTAATGGCGCCAACCTGTCGTTGTAAACAAAACACCAATGTGTTCGATTTGAAGAACTTCACACATACTTTTTAATATACTTTTAAATTCCGTGAGAATATGCTTATGCAAACGTTGTGGGTCGGCTGAAAGAATCAATATATCCAAGACCAAGAGAGTCCTGTAGCCAGGTAAACAATTTATTTAGTTTATAGCTTCGTCTGGATGATAAAATTTTATAAAATAGACCACTAAAAAATTTTTAAAAACCTAAAATTTAACCAAGCTTTCGCACTAAACGTCTATCATCCGGGTAAAATGTGTATAAATCTATTTTTCAAGCAAGGAATATTTATATAACCGTAAAGAATAAAGTTTATAAACATTCTGAATACAGTACGTGGAAAAATAATAAATAAATAAGTACGTAGATGAAAAAGAAGCATTACTCAATTCCGTGCAATGATTGTAATGTACAATATATTAGCCAAACCTGACCTACATTCAGACAAGAAAGACGACCATATATCAAGTGTAAAGATTTTTTTGAATTGAATAATCAGTCTTGGCCCTTGGCGGAGCACTTGTGTAACCTAGATCATAGTCATAGACATAGTCATACAATATATTTGAATATATACCTGAAAGACCTATAATTGTGTAAACTAGCATTAGCTAACTCAGGATCTAATTAAATATAAATTTTAGTTTTTTTAATTCTTTCAGTGTTTTATTTAAATAAATTTGACTACAAGCCAAACGAAGCTACAAGCCAATGAATTAATCTTGCCGCTATACATCAATTCGTATAAAAACTCTCATGTCGCTGTGACTGTGTTGACACTTCCAGTTTTTTGCCATGTATACAATACAGAATGTTTATAATTTTAAAGGGAATAAATATTCCTTGCTTGTAAAATAGATTCATTCACATTTTGCCATGATAATTGACGTATGAACCAAAAGCTCCGTTAATTTTAGTTTTTTTAATTTTTTAGTATTAACACTATTTTATTGAACTAACCTTGAACTAATCTTGTTGCTCAATGGACAATGAACTAATCTTGTCGCTATATCATTTCGTAAAACTCGCCAGGTTTATCATTACTCCGTACCGCAATTTGGGACTGCAAATTATATTGAATGGCGCTGCTAGACTGGAATTGCTGCATCATTTGCCAGCAAGACACCGCCGAACCTTTAAAATGCCCTTTGAAGAGTCCTGGAACAAGTGATCAAAAGAGTAATGCGTACACATCCTTTCTGTGCAATGTAGAACAATTCCGAGACATAGGAGAACTTCCAGTTGAGCTTCGTTTCGGAAAGAACGAAACTGCTGACAACTTTGCTAGTCATTTTGCGTCCTGGCACAAATCCTGCTATTTAAAGTTCAACAATTCCAAGTTGTGTAAGGCAAAGAGGAAACGAGAGCGTGAAAATGATGAGTCTGAAGCAAAAGAGTCCAGGAAAAAAAAGAGGCAAGCTCTGGATGTTCAGAAGTGTTTCCTCTGCGAGACCGGCGAAGAGGCAGGTGTTCTTCATCAGGTTTCAACGTACGATGCAGACACCAATCTGCGAATGATGATAACAGAGCTAAATGATGCTCAACTTCTCACTAGAATAGTTGGAGGTGACCTTATTGCCATGGAGGCAAAGTATCATCTTAAATGCCAGATCAACTTGCGAAATCGATACCGCAGTCTCATTAGGATGTCAAACCAAGAAACAGCGGCTGATACATGTGAAAAAATGAACGAATCTAGAGCATTTGTAGAGCTGACAAGCTATATTGAGAAAGCTGTGGGATCTGGAATTCTTCTCTTCAAGCTGTCCGAGATCCATTCGATGTACGTGAATCGTCTTGAGGACCTTGGAATAAATAAACAAGTCAATAAGACCAGGTTGAAGAATAATTTGCTGGAACACTTCCCTGAGGCACAGGAACAATACGATGGAAAGAACACTGTTCTTATCTTCAACGAAGGTATGCGAAATATGTTGAAGGAGGCACTAAAGAAACGCGATTTCTCCGAAGATGCTGCTATTCTTGCAAAGGCTGCTGTCATTATCCGAAAAGACATTTTCGGCCATAAAAGCTTTAAATTCACTGGCAACTTTCCACCAAAATGTGAAGAGGACTCACTGCCTTCAAGCCTCAAGTCTCTTGTTTCCATGATCCTCAATGGCCCTAACTTGAAAGATCAAGATAAACGTGAATCACAGGCTTGCCTCACTGTTGGCCAGTGTATATTTTACAATGCAAAAAAAAGTGGAGCCAGTACTGCTGATAAAACGAGGCACTCGAAAGAACGCGAGCCACCACTTCCAATCTACATTGGCATCAATGTTCATGCGCAGACAAGGAGCAAGAAACTCATCCAGCAGTTTTACCAGATGGGTATTAGCATCTCCTATGATCGAGTTATGGAGCTTGAGGATTTGATCGCTTCTGCTGTTTGTGAACGCTTTGAAGAAGATGGAGTGGTGTCCCCCGCTTGCCTTCGAAAGAATTTGTTCACTGTTGGGGCGCTGGATAACTTGGATCACAATCCTAGTTCAACCACTGCGGTAACGTCATTCCATGGGACTGGAATCAGTCTTTTCCAGTCTCCAACCAAGACCAATCCTGGCGAAAGCAGACAACCGATTACCATACCACCTAAATCCGGACCACAGAAATACTCTCTCCCTGACAGCTACGCCAGTGTCCCAGCTGTAGCACTGAAGACCACTGCCATTGATGTACCAAAGTGTGATGTCAGCCCTGTTATGGTATGCGTTAATGACGCCATCGCAGCTGAGAATACGTGGGTTGAACATGCACTGCCACTTCTTGAGAAGCAGAAGCTGAGCAACAGTGATTCCATTGCTTGGGCTGCATATCACGCTGCTTTGCAACGTCCCGTAGAAGACCCTCCAGCTGTTTGTGCACTGCTTCCTTTGTTCTATGAGAAGGCCGCCACACCCGCAATGATCAAACATGGTATGGATGTCCAGAGACTAGCAACTGAATATTTAAATCCAGGCCAAATCCCCGTCACCACATTCGACCAGCCTCTGTTTGCATTGGCAAAGTTTGTACAATGGAAATGGCCAGTTGCGTATGGTGAAAAGCTTCATGTCGTTATGCTTGGTGGTCTACACACAGAGATGGCCCTTTGGAAGACACTGGGAGACGTATTGGAAGGTTCTGGTTGGACGGAAGCTCTTACAGAAGGAGAGGTGGTGTCCTCTGGTGTTGCCGAGTCTTTTTTGAAAGCTGCACATCTCACTCGAACCAGACATGGTCACCAAGTCACTCTCTTGGCACTCCACTATCTCCAGCACGAGGCATTTATGCTGTGTGAAGGACCTAAAGATAAAGAGTCCGCGCAAGGGTGGAGGAATAACATGATTCGGAAGAGTCCAACTTTTGCATACTGGGATCTAATTCTACGGTACGAAACCCTCATTCTCATCTTCGTCAGGGCTCATAGGGAAAGGAACTTTCCATTGTATGTGCAAGTCTTGGAGAAACTCTCACCACTGTTTTTTGCCTTGGATCATGTCAATTATGCAAGATGGATGCCAGTCCATATCAAGGATATGAAGTCCTTGCCTGAATCCATCAAGGATGAGTTTGAGAAAAATTCTCATTGGGTACTTTGCAAGACAACAAACAATTTCTCTGCGATCCCATTTGATCAGGCTCATGAGCAAGAAAACAAGACAGTGAAAGGTTCGGGTGGCGCTATTGGTCTTACAGAAAATCCTACAGCTTTCAGGCGCTGGATGCTTTCGGGTCCAGAAATTGCTAGACTACTAACACAGTTTGAAGAAGAGAATCTTCAAGATGAGGATCCTGAGATCCCTAAGAATTTCAAGCACCATGAGCAAGGTCTCTCCGCTCAGGTGACTTTTCAGAAACAGGTTAACAACCTCTGCGAAACCATCAAACGAATGGGCAATCCTTTCTTAGACGACTTCTCTGATCTAGTGACGCTGAATAGCCGCAACTGTATGGATGAAGCTGTGATAGACACAATCCGAACTCTGGAGAACACAGGCGAAAAGCAATATCAGGATTATGTCAAGAACGTACTTGAAGATCGCACACGTTCTATCCACGACCCGATCAAGAGGAATTCTCTAGCACTCTTCAAAAAACCTCATAGCAAGACAACATCACGCCAGGGGAAGAAAGTCAAAGTTCTTCAGAACAACGTCGCACTTTTTAGTCAGCTGTATATTGCCATGCAGAACCGGGATGGAGATTTGGGTGAATTCTTTGCCCATGAGATTCAGTCCTTCCCACCTTCCCTCTCAGATTTTGGCGATCTTCATTTGCCAAGCGCGAAGTCTGAACTACTACGATGTCTTGAGCAGCCTGCACAAACCGAACCGCCGTCAACCTACAACTGCAAAGTCCTGGATGGTGCTGTCATCGTTCACTGCCTTCCTACTGCTGCGGCGAGTACCTTCGATGAGTATGCGGATAAGGTGTTCTTACCGTACCTAGAGAAGCAGCTGCAAGAGTCCAGAAGGTTAGATATTGTGTGGGATACATACATTTCAGATAGTTTGAAGGAGTCTACCAGGGTAAAAAGAGGCAAGGGTGTACGCAGAAAAGTGTCTGGCCAGACCAGGTTGCCTGGCAATTGGATGGATTTTCTTCGCGACTCAACCAACAAGAAGGAGCTGTTTGCCTTTCTTACCACCAAAGTTGAACAGTTCAATTGTCCAGCATCCACAGCTATGTATGTCACATCAGGACAATCGGTGTTGTCCATTAGTTCTGGTAGTCCAATGCAGAGCTGTAACCACGAGGAAGCTGACACCAGAGTTGTGGTACACATATTACATGCACTCGAGCACGGAGAGAGGACTGTCCTAGTGCGTACTGTGGACACTGACGTTGTTGTCATCCTCGTTGGAACATTCCACAATCTAGCTGCAGTACAACCATTGCTCGACATCTGGGTAGCCTTTGGCACAGGCAAGAATTACAGATTCTACAGCATCAATGCAATTTGTGCCAGTCTGGGGGAGCCACGGTCACGTGCACTACCCGTGTTTCACGCCTTTTCGGGTTGCGACACTACCTCTGCCTTTAATGGTAAGGGCAAGAAGTCAGCATGGCAGGCATGGCAGGCTTTTGAAGATGTTACGGGAACGTTTGTATATCTGGCTTCGCATCCTTTTGAGAAACTGTACTTGGACTCCGAATCCTTCCAGAAGCTAGAGCGTCTAACTGTAATCCTGTATGACAGAACCAGCTCACTGAGCTCTGTTAACGAGACCAGAAAGGAACTCTTCTGTCAGAAGAGTCCACCAATGGAGAAACTTCCACCGACTCAAGACGCCCTACTTCAGCACATCCGACGGACAGTCTACCAAGCTGGAATTTGGACTACCAGCACACAAGCAGAGCCAGTGGTTCCATCCCCACAGGACTTTGCATGGACCCAGGTTGCAGATTCTTGGGTTCCAGTTTGGATGACCATGCCAGAAGTATCCAAAGCATGTAGAGAGCTGATCAAATGCGTATGCAAAGGAGACTGTTCTAAATGTAAATGCGTTAAGGCAAATCTAGACTGTTCGCCACTTTGCAAGTGCAAATGCAAACAACACTAGTAAATATACCGAGAACAAATAATCCTAATAAAGGTAATAAAGCTATCTGCAAATTTTTATATATCCACGCATTTTCTCATAATGGTTTAACGAGGCTCCCTGCAGTTTCCATTATGTATCATTGTTTTGAAAGGTTATAAGCTGAGGAGATTCTTTCATTACTCTTGGCATTACAATAACAACATGACGGCAACATTTATCTAGCCTATATTATCAAAAAAACTATCATAGTCGAAAAATCTATGGTGACCTATCAATATTTTGCCGCAAGTAGATTATTATAATAATTTATATACATATACTATATATTTCGCAAAATTATATATAATAGTTTATTTGGCAAAATTTTCCTTTTGCCAAAAACAGTAGGGAGCCACCTTAAGTCTAATTTGTCACACAGCGTTTGTGAGTCAGCATTTTTACAAAAGATTTATTCAGTTACAGTTAAACATATGTATCAATACAGTGGTATACTATAACAGGTACAGCGTCAGTGACTTATAAAACTCTTAAATTTACATTATCGTTACTATTAAAATTCAAAGAAACGAGAATTTTGGTGAAATAAGCCGCCATCTTGGATTTAGTTGTCGTGTTAGTGGTGATAAAATCTAGGGAGGGCTCCTAGGCTAAAATTAACTGTTATATCCCAAGGGAGCGCTGTCCCAAATTTGGTGCTTTTATCCGCCCGGTAACAATAATTTCAGTAAGCCACCTGACTATAGCTAACAGCATTCCGGCCTCATCCCGCACCCCCACCTCTTTCATGAACGGTAACATAAATTCGTTCTTCCAAACTTCTAACAAACTGAAATTGTTGAAATTCTAAAATCTCTTCACTCGGAAACTGCTGCGGGCCACGATAAAATACCTATGTGGTCCATAAAAGAGTCCATAGAATTTATTGCAAAACCGCTGACTCATATAATTAATTTATCTATAGAGGCGGGTGTTGTCCCACACCAAATGAAGATTGCCCATGTTATACCAATATTTAAGGCAGGCACAGATAGCCTATTCCAAAACTACCTGTTTCGGTTTTACCAATGTTTTCAAAATTATTGGAGAGGGTTGTGTATAATCGGCTAATCAAGTATATCGATAAGCATGGCATTTTATTTGATAAGCAATATGGTTTTAAGAAAACTAAATCTACTTCATTAGCTTTACTTGATTTAATAGACAAGATAACATCAGCAATTGATAAAGAAGAATATGCAGTTGGGATTTTTTTAGACCTCTCAAAGGCATTTGATACTATAAATCATGAAATTCTCTTCGAAAAACTCAATCATTATGGAATTCGTGGCCTGGCACTTAATTGGCTAAGAAATTATTTTTCAAACAGACAACAATATGTTCAATGCAATGGGGTAACATCCTCGTTTAATACTATAAGATGTGGAGTACCTCAAGGGTCTGTGCTTGGGCCATTACTATTTCTGATATATATTAATGATATTTGCAATGCCTCAGATGCCTTGGAATTGGTCTTATTTGCTGACGATACCATGAGTTCATTCGATGACACTTACGTGTTAAGCATGGCGGTCGTTGTTGATCCTTGTGAAATACTCAACGTTTGTGCGAATGAAACTAACAACAAAACCTACGAGAATTTGTTAAAGTATAAAGAATACTTCCAAGTGCAACCTGACAAGAAAATTAAATGGCTAGGAAATTTTGACGAACTGAAATGTTTGATATTTGATTTGTTTGGTGCCGATGGGAAATGGAGTTCGCCGAGAGGCTCAGCAAAGGCATTTCAAAACGATAAAATAACTATTACATATTACACCAACAAGAAATCTTTGTTATTTCAAGGCCAAGAAGGTAACCGTTTGAAAGAGGTTATATTAAATCAATCAAGTAAGAGTTCTGACTTGCTTACGGACAGTATAGTTAGTCATGAATCTATCCTTTGTGCTTCAAACAATGATAACCTGTTATATGCAAGTCAAACCGTGGCCAAAACAGCTAAAATATCTATGATTAGCAACAATACTAGATCTAAAAGCGAGGTAACCCTTGAAGATCTACAAGACTTTATCGACTTTTCATATCAAAATATATTGCCGCTAAGTGATAATGCCAATTTATCTTCTACCCGAACCTTTGATTGTTCTACCCCGTCTCGCCCGAGTGTTGATGACAACTCGCCTGCTATAGAGAAACTTTTTGGCACTTTCAAAAGGGAGTTTGAATCTAAGGTCGAAGCCCTGATTTTCGAACTTTCGGAGCAGAGGGAAACCATTGACAGATGTAAACAGGATATATGTAAATTGACCAGTGAAAATTTAAATCTAAAGTCACGCCTGGCGGAACTCGAACAAAAAGCGTTTCCTAAGAATAAATCTAATAACGTTATTAAAAACGCTGAAACCAACGATGTTATTAGTAGCACTCTATCATATTACCTGCCCTCAACTGTCTCAAACGAAGCCCCTAGCACAACTAATGGTCCTACTATCAGCTCCCTAGTAAATAACCACCAAGTATGTGTCCCCATGGAGGGCTCTAGTGAAACTGCCGTATTTTGCAGTCCCTCTTTAAACAATCAACCGGCGGTTGTCTGCGACAAGGGAAACAATTCAAAACGTAAGCCCTTACCAGCTAAAGAATGCATGCCTCCCAAAGCTAATGAAAACATTGAGCCATCGAACCACCGATTGACCAGGTCCAGCAAAGTTATTCCCCCTACCCATAAAGAATCCCAACCTATTCCAACTAGGATTACGTACCGCGTCCCACCAAACGCTAAAATGAAAACCATCCGAGGAAATAGTAAATACCGGAAGAACCAACAGGTACATAATGGCAACTATACCGATAAATATAATAGAAGACCCGCTTCTATGCAGACTGCGAGAAACCAAGCAAAAGAGAAACATATTTATCCGCGCCCTTTTCAACAAGCCCCCCGGTTTCATTATCCATGGACAAAACTTGGGAATTTTATGAAGGAGTGGCAAGCATATCTAAATTTTGTTCGCATGACAGTGACAAATCCTCCCAAGTTACCCCGCCATCCTTCATTTCCTTTACAACGAATAGAAACATTGGTTTAGCGCAAATTTGTGCAAAAACCAATAACCATGAAAATGATTATACAATACAACAACCGATACCAACCATTGTGCAACCGAGAAAAAAGAAATATCCTGTTACAACACGCGTTCCCAACTACAAGGCATTAATTCCACTAAAACAGTTGCCCAAGGGCCATCTGTTTCCTGAAATATTTTTTAGTAACACAAGGTCCATGATAAACAAGATCGACGAGATTTCTACTCTAATCTCGCTTAACTCATATGATATCATAGTTATTACCGAATCATGGTTGAATTCAAATGTAACTAACAATTTTATATCTCAACCTGGATATGTAACATACCGAAAAGACAGGAATAATGACTTACGTGGGGGCGGAATTTGTACCTTTATACGTGCTAACCTTTACGTCCTTGAAGTATGCGACTTGGGCGATCCGGAAGTTGAAAGCCAATGGTTCGTGTTAAAAACTGATCGGTTACCCAGAGGAATTAACTCTATTCTACTAGGAATTATTTATCATCCCCCACGTAACGACGACCGGCACCTTAGGTCCCACATCTTTAAATGCTTGGACCAACTCCTAACAACTTACCCGAACTCTGGCATTCTAGTTCTAGGAGACTTTAATCAGTTCCATCCAGGTAACCTCTGTTGTTCCTTTAAATTAAGAAAACTCGTTACAGAACCAACTAGGGGAAAGAATATCCTTGACCAAGCCTACACCAACTTGACGTCCTATTACAACTCTGTCATCTTACCTCCTATTGGCTCATCTGATCATCGTAGTATTTTATTGCAACCATCGTGTAGAGAAAACCCCAGCGCTCCAACTATTAGAATCCAACAACGTGAATGCAAGGCTTCAAACAAACGTGTTTTGATTTCAACACTAGACCATATAAACTGGACGCCAATTTATAGACTTAACTCATGCGAAGAACAACTCGATGTCTTTCAGAGTACGATTTCAAACGCCATCAATTTTTGCCTTCCAATGCGTTCCGTTAAAACCTACACCCGTGATAAACCATGGATTACTCAAGATATCAAAGGCTGCATCAAAAAGCGCCAACTCGCCTGGGTAAGAAACGACACCAAACAATACAAAATTTACCGAAATAAGACCGCAAAACTCTGTAAAATTGCTCGTAAACGTTTTTACCAAAACAAAATCCGACACACGCAAGATATTAATCCTAAAAAGTGGTGGGACAACATAAAAATGCTCTCCGGCTTATCAAAACAGCAACCTCCAATGAGCATGCTTGTAAATGGTTCCGTACTCAAGGATAAACAACTAGCCGAGGCCATTAGTGATTCCTTCTATCGAGTCTCTAGCGATATTCCTACCCTACATTTCCAACCGATCCCAGTCACTTGTATCCCAGATTTGTACATAATTTCTCCCGAAGCTGTGGAGGCTCGTCTATCCTGCATTAACGAGCGTAAGGCAACTGGCCCAGACGAAATTCCGAATTGGCTGCTGAAAAGTTGCGCAGTTAATTTAAGTCAGCCAGTTTGTTCCATTTTTAACGCGTCGATTAGGAATGGCGAAGTCCCTAAACTATGGAAATCAGCAGATGTATTGCCACTTGGAAAGATCACTCAACCAAAATCTATCGAATCTGATCTCAGACCGATTTCTTTAACTACTGTTCTAAGCAAAATTCTCGAAAGTTTTGTGTTTAGTTGGCTTGCCCCTATTGTAATGCCACATATCGATCCATACCAGTTTGGAAGTGTCAAAAGATCGTCTACTACACATGCCCTTGTACACTTAGTTCATTATTGGCTTTCTGCCCTGGAAGCACCAAACACGATGATCAGAACTTGTTTAATCGATTTTGCAAAAGCCTTCGATCGAATTGATCACAACATTCTCATGCATAAACTATTGATCCTTGGGGTCCCTCCGGTGCTTTTAAACTGGTGCTCGAGCTTTCTCCAAGAAAGACAACAACGTGTTAAAGTGGGAACTCACAAATCAAGTTGGAAACAAATCGCAGCTGGGGTGCCTCAGGGAACCAAATTAGGCCCTTTGTTTTTTCTTATTATGGTGAACGATCTGAGATGTAATGCACCATTGTACAAATATGTTGACGACTGTGCGGTTACTGAAATCATTAAATCATTTGACTTGCAGTCATCCAGTTTACAACGTGAGATCGACTACATAAATCAATGGTCGGTTAAGAATAATATGAAATTGAATGTCACAAAAACTAAAGAATTCAATATATCTCTGTCTAGCGCCCCACATTCGTTCCCTGCTTTATCTATAGACAATCAACATTTCGAAGTTGTCCACACTGTTAAGCTTCTGGGAGTGTACTTGTCTGCTGATTTAAAGTGGACGACGCATATTGACCACATATGTTCCAAAGCCAGTAAACGTCTATTTGCAATTCGAATATTGTAACGAAACGGCGTTGAAGTGTGGGATCTTAGAAATGTATACTGTAGCTTCATACGACCTGTGCTAGAGTATGCCTGCCCCGTGTGGCATTTTTCATTGCCTGTATCTTTGTGCGACCAAATTGAACAAATTCAACGCCGGGCTCTGAAAATTATCTATCCTGATTTATCGTATAAAGACAGTTTGAACGAACTCAATCTGCCCACTCTTGTTGATCGGAGGGTTTCCTTGCGTAAACGGTTTTACGAGAACAGTTTTGGCACTTCAAGTAAAACTTCTGACCTTTTACCTAGAAAGAAATCTTATTCATATAACCTTAGAAATGCTAGAAACATTCCACTTTTTAAAACACGTACAAGTAGATTTTATGACAGTTTTTTACCAACCGGCGTACGGAAATGGGACTTGCCTTGAACTATTCCAATTTAATAACTTAACACAATAATGCATAAATTTGTATTGTACATATATTTTTATATATTCTAATCTAACTATTTTATTTTAATATTTGTTACTTGAGTTTTTCAGTTTGTTTGTAAACTGCCATTCAAGTTTTTAATAAATTCAATTCAATTCAATGTGTATTTGTATTTCATAATATTTTGTTTCACGGCAGGGGACTATATTAAAGATAATGGCGAGCGCGATTTCATCACGCAAAAAACGCGTTGGACTTGCCGACTTACAAGACAACGTTAATGTTGGTCGCTAATACGCAGATTTTGTCCAGAGTACAGCCAACTTTGGTCCTACAATTAGATTTGTAAGCATTGTAATCTGGAACGATCGTTTTAGTGCAAATTATCTTGACATTGTGCGAGGCATTGTTGTATTCACAGCAATATTTTCATATCAGTGGCATAATCTTTAAGTTCCTAATTACCACATTGCAGTATAAGAGTAAAAGGTTCCGTGATAAAATTTTTGTACATATCCGTGAATGTTTAGTAAGTCGGCAAGCCGTGTTTATAAACATTAAGTTAATTTCCATTATCACCGCCTATATCTTGTCACGTGACCAGTTTCCATGGAAACCAAATAGTTGAAAAATATCGGCAGTTAATTTCCAACATCTCACCCAAAAATAAGAGTCGTAGTGTATTTTGTCAATATTTAATTAATTTTTAAAGATTTTTTCTATTTTCCCTCTCCTTACGAAATTGGAGCCAGGCATTAATGCACCTGAGCCAAACGTCGTAGAGTCGGAGAAAGACAAGTCGAAGCAGGAGAGAACGATTTCCAATCGAGTTGAAGTCCACAGAACGAGCGTATGTACCCGATCCCTTTGTCATTCACTGATAGTTCCAGTTTGGCTTCATCATCAAATAAACCCGGAACGTAGAGTCATGGTTTACGCCCTTTTGGACGAGCAATCAGATGCCTGCTTTATCAAGGACTCAATATTGAATGTTCTTGAAGTCGACGGTCCAGAAGTACCACTTGAACTTTCCACAGTGCTCTCTCACGAAGTTATCAAGTGTCAGAAAATCACTGGTCTGGTTTGTCGTGGCATCAACGAAACTGTAGAAGTTAATACTGTAGGTAAGGTTAACAATAAACATGGGCAAATAAATAGTCTGCTAAATCACCAATGCTCTAAATTATCGGGTAAATTAGACAGTGAAATCACAAAGTACAGTTGGTGAATAAAGGTACATGAACTTAAGCCATTGAGTGGCACACTCTCCCCTGACAAGTAAAATTGTCTGGTGTTAGACAGAGTAAAATAATCTGGTGTTAGACAGAGTAAAATAATAAAGTAGGGCGCAATGCGGCTTAGTTAAAGGGTTAACAGGGTGCATGGGCAGATTGTCTGATTAACCCATTGAGTGGTAGCAGTCTCCCCCTGATGAGTAAAATCATCTGGTGTTAGAAGAGTAAAATCATCTGGCTTAGACAGAGTAAAATAGCCTGGCGTTAGACGGAGCAAAATCGTCCGGCATTAGACAAAGTAAAATCGTCTGGCATAAGACCGGGTATAATAATTAAGTAGGGCGCATCTGAGCACATTGTGACTTAATTAAAGGATTAGCAGGGTACATGGGCAGCACTCTCTTCAGTTGGCGAGCAAAATTGTCTGGGGATTAGACAGAGTAAAATAAAAAAGTAGGGCACATCTGGGTCAATGTGACTTAATGAAAGAGTTAACTGGGTGCATGGGAAGATTGTCTGATTAATCCATTGAGTGACAACACTCTCCACCCTGAGAAGTAAAATTGTCTGGCATTAGAGAGAGTAAAATCATCTGGCATTAGACAGAGTAAAATAATAAAGTAGGGTGCATCTGGGCACATTGCCACTTTGAGGACTTATACATTTACCTTCTTTCACTTTGTACAGATAGCTAGTGTGGTAGACAGTTTAGAGGATTTGGAAGACATTGGCAGGGAATTGACGAAGGAGAAAGCAGCAGGTAGTCAGGGAGGAAGTTCAGGTACTCACAGAAGGAAGGTTAGCACAGGAGATATTAAATGCAGTGGGAGGACAAGAAGGCGGCGTAGTGTAGAAACATTTAAAGCAGCTGAGATAATACATGCAGGAAGAGGAGATAAGAAGTCTTGTACAATTGGGTTACTTGATACCATTGAAAGTAAATGTGAAGAAGATGAATTGTTTAATGCTATTGATGTTGGTAGATGCAAGAAATTGAAAGAGAAGGTGTTTCCGAAAGTGTACAAAAAGGAAGTGAAATTTTACGAATCCACCACAGAAAATATGTTGCGATCTGTGGCAGTTTATTATAGTAATGGGGTAATGGGTAAAGTAAAATATAAATCTGTGTATATATCATCCACCTATGGTTATTCGCTTCATAAGAAGAAGGCTGTGCGTATGACTGTTGCTAACTGCCCCATCCCCCGTCTTGTTCCATATCATAGGCTGGTTGCATACACTAAAAGCATTGATGTAGGTAAGTTGTATTGTGTTCGTGACACTCTTTGTGATGGCTTAGACGAGAAAGACAAGGTAAGTGGTTGCTATCGTGATCTGGAAGAGCTGCTAGTCCGTTTGGCAGAATTCTATCTTTCCAGTGATTATTATAAGATACTTACATTTACTGAAACAAATACTTTTCATATTTCTCTAGGTGGTGACGGTGCTCCATGTGGAAAGGATGATTCTGCTTGTGCTTGGTTGGTAAGCGTTTTAAATATTGGGCAGAGTGTACTTAGTAGCAACGAAAATTTTCTTCTTTTTGGTGGAAATTGTAGTGAAAATTGTATACCTGTGAAACGGTTCTTGCAAAAATTGTTAGTCGATATCCGCAGAATTGAAACCACCACATATACGGTTTCGTGCAAAAGTAAGATTGTTAACGTTAAGTTTTTCATTTCAGAGTTGCCTAATGACATGAAAATGTTAGCTTTTCTAGGTAGAGAATTAAGCAATAGTGCGAAGTATTTTTCTTCTTTTGGCGATGCGAGTTTAGACACGGCAAGAAAACCAACAGGTACGTATGGCCCTGAACCATCCCACACGTGGAAGCCATGGAAATACGATCAGCGAATTGTGGTTGCGAACAAGGTGGAAAAATTGAAAAAATCTTTAGAAAAGACAAAGATTTCAGATGCAACAAAACGCAACAAGGTAACTACTTTTATAGCAAATCAAAAGAGTAGGCAAGAATTTAAACCAGTCATTGGTGAACTTATAGATCGCGCACATGTTGACCCATTACATCTGAAGAATAATGCTTGTGCTCTTGCCCATCGCAATATTCTAAATATTGCACTCTCTTTGTCAAAGTTGCCAAATTCTGTGACAGGTTTTGCTCAGGTTCCATATATATCACTGTTTTTCAAATATGTTGAGGCATTAAGATCGAAATGTTTTCTTTCCAGGTTATCCAAGAAAGTGATTAGGTGGTTTAATGAGACAAGGGGTAATGGTAAAGCATTTGACTACAGGTTTACAGGCAAAGACTCTCGCATGTTCTTGCACAACTTTATGTTTTTAATAGATTTGGTAGAAGAAAAGACCCTTGGTATGCAATCTAAACAACTCCACATTCATGCTTATCTTTGCGTTTGTCTTCGCAATGCTGTTTCTCTTTTTAGTCGTATTAACATATCTGATGAAGAGGTAAGTAGTTTAGAGCAACATTGTTGCAGTTTTTTTCGTGGGTACTCCCTCTTTTTTACTGTAAATCCAACTGTTTGGACCCTTGGCCATGTTGTTCCATTGCATACCAAGGAAATGAAAAGTAAGTATGGTATGGGATTGGGACTAAATTCTATGGAAGGAAGGGAAGCCAAACATATAGCCATTGCACGGTATAGCCACAACACCGCGTATTTATACCGATGGGAGCAAATATTTCGCCATGAGTATATTTCTCTCATTTGGCTCCGCGAAAAGGGTTACAATACCAAAGTCAATGTTACTTCTACTAAACTTCGTTATATTCCTAAGCGTGTGACCACCAGTCAGGAGTTTTGCAACTGTGGACTAGATGTGAAAATTGATGGTCAATGCCGTTTTTGTGGTCACAGTTTAAGAAACAAAATTAAGGTTAGTATTGAAAAATGCATAATAGATCTTTAATAGTACCACGTACTGTACTGCCTCGTTAAAGGGCAAGACTGCCAAGAGTGCATGTACAACAGAATCCGCGTTTTGTGGAGTTGGTGATTTGATAGTTGTTTGTTGCGAGTTTATCATTGGGAAACAGTTGAATATGTATAAATATATAGCATACCTATTACGCAACAGAATTTGATAGTAATTCATAATGATCTCTATACTTTTCATGCTCTATGCGATGCACTATTAGTCTTGCCCTTTAATGATTGAAGTGCGAGCCAGTGAAGAGTATTTTCCCATTGATTAAATAAAATCATAATCGTCGACTTAGTTCATAGAAACCAATGGAATCTATAAGCTTCTTTTCCATTTATCGCAAGAGTTAACCCACAAGCTCGGGGTCATGGTTAGTGTATATCTTGTTTGCCAGCGGGCCTTAAAATATCTTTTACAGGGCCGTCTGACAAAATGTCCGATGACTTTGAGTTTGGGTCGGACATATGTATGATGATGTCCGATGACCTTCAGTTCAATTTAATCTGAATGACACAAATTAATATCAGCACAATGTATCAATTCTGAACTAAATGTTGTAAAAATATTAAATAATTTGTGTCATTCATACTTATTTTCAAGCCAAGATTATCTTGCTTGCCAATAATAGCAGTATTTTGATTTACGTGCGTGGAAAAAGCGTCGGACAAAGCCAGTTCGCTCGGACACCAATACTCTAGGGTCGGACAAACAATAAACCTCAGTTTCACTTAGGTCGGACAGAATGTCCGGTGGTTTTATTTCTACGTCGGACAATTTGACGAATGGGTCGGACAATGTCCGTGACCGACCGATATTTTAAGGCCTGATTTGCCAGACAAGGGAACTCCATTCACCTCGTTGTGAAGACTTCCATTGCATATGTGTGTCACGACCTCTTTATAGAAATAACGGGCAATTATAGAAATGACATATCACAAGCCTTTGTTTTTTAATCGCACAAAATGCTCTCAGGGTTCTGCGAATTGCCTCTTGAGAGTAAACAGATGAAGGTAAAGAGACTGTAGATTACATTAGACATCGTACTTTTGTAATTTAAAAATAGAGACAAAGAATGAATCACTTCCCATTATTTAAGCTCGGGTTTGAATGATTAATATAAAAAATACTGAAAAGTTTTAAGATGTATTTAATATAATACTGTATATAATAACTATTAACTTCAATTGCCTTCCATTCTCTTTCAGTTAGCAATGCGTGCCTTATTCACAGCCTTCTTCATATGAAATATCTAAGTATACTTTTTTACTTAAATATATTACACCTGTTCGGATTAGAAGTCTTTGAACATTTATATTCTCAGTTGCTACATGTACAGTACGTATGTCATAGCATACAAATATAAGCTACTGTGTAGTATACATGATATAGAGCTTTTGTTCTTGTACTTCTACAGTGTCCTGTGCAGTGGACAGTGTGTAATGTACATGTAGCTCAAATTAAATGCCACTGATAAAGTTCATGTGATGAAATACACATGGCTGACCAAAAGGCATACAGTCATACAATTAAGGGGCTGTTTACATGAGCCCTACAGGGAGGGCTGGCCCTACTAGGCGAGATCACGTGTCCTATTTGAAATCCTTATTAAAAATTGCTTACGTTTACAGGAGATGAGGGCCAGCCCTCCTAGGCGAGATCTCACTATTATTCACACGAGATCTCGCCTAGTAGGGCTGGAACTTTTTTATATAAAAGCAGTAGAGAGGGCTGGCCCTCCTAGTAGGGCTGATGGAAAAAGCTGTCGAATCGATTTTAGACTAAACTCTTTGAAGCTTTTTTTTGTTTTAAGGATATAGTTCTAAACGGGTAATCAAATGTCTGTTGGCTTTTATTCCAAAATTTAGTCGGCAAACTATGATTTTGGACGCCAAAATAAAAATGAGTCGTACGGAAGCCATTTAAGTGCTACTTCCGAAATGAAGCTATCCCTACCAGTAGGGTTGATTTTTCTCATGTACTGTAAACAAGCGGTGAAAATTAGCCCTACTGCTAGGGCCAGCCCTCCCGGTAAGGCTCATGTAAACAGCCCCTAAAACTACAGTATATATTTCTATTCAATTTATACACGTAACCCAATGTGGGCACATACAGCACCTGTGAAATGTTCTTCTTGACTAGGCAAGACATAGTAATTATAGGGCTAAACTGCATAACTATAGTGTGGGTGCGATAATTATAATTACTAAAACAGCGCTGGGGATCAGTACTGTAGTATAAATTATCGTCAACAAATTCGACCACTGGCTGCAGTGGCACTGCCGGTATTTTAATATTCGAGTATTATGTTTACCACCACATTAATTTTGGCTGTATCTTGTACTGAGTTGATGGCAGCTTTCTGAAATGACTTCACATACTTATCAGGTACAATTGAGAGCATTATACAGTTTGTGAAGCCGTGTAATAAAGTAGTCTCCACGAGAAACGTTTCGTTGCAACTTTCTCGTGCCGTCGCAAAGTTGAGCCACCGCATTGCGAAATCCCTCCACTGACTCCCGCCGCTGTTGAAACTAAATTACATTAAGGGTAGGTTTCACTAACCAATTCCAGACGGTAGCACTTGGTGGTCAACTTGCAGTAATCATAGTAAAATAACTTTGATTCTTTCCATTACGTGTGTAGTAAAAAATGAACAAAAAATAAGAAGGGAAGATAAGTTCAAATTAATTTAATACTTGTTTCAATAAAGGTGAACAATTTTGACTGTACTTTGACCACCATTCACTGACACGTGAAACTCACCTATATTAGTATTTTAAATATATTAGCGTAGTAGAACGCACAGTTAGGCACATTCAATAGTGCTTTTTATGGCTTGCGATGACACATTGTCCAATGAACATTGTGTGAATTGCTTGTAGCACACATTAAACATTTCATATGGTACACATAATGTTAAGTAAATTATTATAAATAACTTTAGCCCATTAGTGTAAAATGAGTTGACACTAGACATACAATCATACATTAATTAATCCTGCTTTATTGCTTGCAATGACATTGACATTGTCCTGTGTCAATGTGTTTGTGTCCTGTCACATAATATTTATTGTAAGAGAACTGTAGCAGTAAATTGCTACTAACATTTCAATATATTTTTGATAAAAATTACATACTTATTTATTGTGTACTGTGTAGTCTTTGGAGTGTAAGCAGTAATGTTAACAGTTATACTGTACAGCTGTATACTGCCTGTTGTTAATGAATGATCTACACATATCGTTTGAACTTGAAATACTGTTTATCATTAAATAAATATATTTTCATATATATCTAGTCCATCTTTATGGTATTGAGCACTGTTTGTGTTTCCAAAACGTAAGCTATATATGTTTTCTATAGTCATTTCAAACTCAAAAGTGCAAAACCTCAATCTCTAAGCAAAACAAAAACAGTATGGAAGCAAAAAAGTTGCATATGCCAAAGAGGCAAGGGCACTGCATGGTGATTTTTGTGCTCAAAGGTCACAGTTTTGCATTTTTGGGTTTGAAAAGAAAATAACTTTATAGTATAATTGAATTAGCTGTATGCCAGCCTGTAATATCTCAAAAATACAATGAGATAAATTATTAAACTAAACTTTTCTGTATGGATGGAGATAATTCAAATAGATTGAACCATCATGAACGCACTCACTATTTTGGTACCTAGTATTTTACACTAGCGAATGCCAGGTGATTGAACTACACAGCCGGTAGCCTTGCATCCCTCTTGTCAAGGGGATATCTGGATGTGTTCGCTCGGCTTGTTACCATGCTGGGGACAAGTTATCAAGTGGCAAAGTTGAGAAAGTTAACAAAATTGCAACAACTTGTTCCGACATGCCTGTTGACTTTATCAATCTTGTTACAAGATGATAACAACTTGTCCCAGACTTGTCCATAGCTGGTAACAAGCCGAACGAATACATCCAGATATCCATTTGATAACATGCAACAAGCCTGCAGTGAGATAACTGGCTGTGGGAAATGCCAAGGGAAATGTATTGCCTGCTAACTCATCAAAGTGCAACATTGGATAACCCACTTGCACTCCAGTGGGTTAATCCATTAAGCAGCAATGCACCCTACTTTATTCTTTTACTCTGTCTAATGCCAGACAATTTTATTGTCAAGGGGAGAGTAATGCACTCTAATGAGTTAATTAACCATTTAGTAATACAATGAACTGTTTGTGTTATTGTAAATCCTGCCTCATCTTGAATATTATATATCAATCCAAAAATGAATATCCTTGCAACTATATGTACTATATATACGGTAAGTGTGAATTTGAAAGAAATTGGTTGATTAATTAATGCATGTGCTGTCAAACAGCCAAGGTCTGTTGACATCACAGGGGCCTTCACAGACAATAAATTTTGTTATCGACAACTAACAACATAGTGTGTGAGGCAACATAGTCTTTCAAAACATGGTTTGGAAACTCCGCTAAAGTCTTTATTCTATCTTTTTGTTTGCATTTATGCAGTTTTGTGCACGGTGCACAGTTAATGACCACATTGTATGTAAGTATAATGAACGAATCATCCAATAGCAAGGTTTCAAATCAAGTCATTCAACCATGCTATTTAAATATTTATTTATTAACCATTGAGTCGCATTGCACCCTGATGCACCTCACTTTAGTATTTTACTCTGTCTAACGCCAGACGATTTTACTCGTCAAGGGGAGAGCGCTCGGCTATTAGGTTAATAACCTCTAAAACAAAGGATGTGCACGGTGTAAGATACGGCTCAACATAAACTCCCAGCTCATAATCACTTTGAAGTTTACTGAATTTCCAGACCATGTCTCGAAAGACTATGGAGGCAAGTAATTGATAATCTCGAAAGACTATGGAGGCAAGTAATTGATTTTTAACTCTTAGTTGTCGACAACTATATAAGTATCCTTTCTTGAAAGAGAAACTGCACTTAGTTTATACAACCTAGAAAAACAATGATTAGTTGTTGTTTACCCCAGGGCCTCAATAAACTAGAAATTTTCAGTTATTGACAACTATTTGTTATTGACAACTAAATTGTTAACAACACTAAAAACATTGGTGTGTGGTGCGAGTTATCAACAACTAACCTTTATTTTTGCTGTGCACCTATCAATGTTAAGTGAGAGGGGGGGGGGAGGTCGGATATATGTGGAGCATCGATTTTTGTTTCCCCACCTTTGGGAATTTGACTCATACCTTTTAGTACGGTACTCATATGTTGTGCCCAACAGTGGGGTATTTGATCACATTTTACTGATATTGGCTGCCCCATGGTAGGGAAATTAAATTAACCCAAAAATTGCATGAAAAAATCAAATGACCCACATAAGAAAACAAAAATTAGTTGTCGATAACTTGCACACTATGTTTTCAGTTGTTGTTGACAATTTAGTTGTCCATGGCAAATATATAGTTGTCAATAACATTAACAATTAACCTGTGGAGAGGCCCTCACATACTATGCATGAATGTAGTTGTCAGTAACAAGTTAGGTATCAATAACAAAATGTCTAGTCTGTGGTGGTCCTAACTGGGGGTGACTTAGAATAAACAACATATTTCAACTAATATAATACCATGATGTTAAGAGTGTTGGGCAAAGCCATTTACATTCCACTCTCCAAAATAAAACAAAATTAACAGTTTTCCTTTGTTTTTGTTGTACGTAAAAATAAAATCCTTTTCCTCTGAAACCATAAGCCAAACTTTGTGCCCCTTTCTTGAACCAGATGCAAGGATTCTTTTGAAATAAAATATGACTTCTTCGGCAGGAAGGCCAGGCAATAACACAAACAGTTCCTTTATCAGATGAATGGACGTGAAGCGAACAACTTCCGTACTTTTGTTGTCGCTGTGGGAACAAAAAGGCACGCCAAATCTGTCGGAATTTCGCACTACTTTGGCGAAGATGGCAAAAATTTCCCTCGGCATCTCACAACTTATTTGGCCACAGTAAGCGTTGCTATAGCCTGCTTTCCTGGCCAGTCAACGATGAATGGCTTTCAGCCACAGCCTTACTTCATCTTTGAGTATTGTGCTGGCATGTATTGGGTGACTTGCCAGCACTCTTGCCCCTTGGCCAAACGCTTCTTGTACACCAACACGACAAAGCTCGTACAAGGGTTCTAAAATGTGGGCGCAAGAAGACAAAAAGAGCTCTTTGTCAATTTTCCCATCGACAAGTGCAGAACTTAAACCTCGTTTCAACCTTTCCCCAACATTTACTTCTTCCAAATTCTCTTCTCCTTCGCTTTCATCAAACATTTGCTCCACTACCTGTTCTGCACTCATCGACACCGCCATTTTGAATTTCCGCGCGCTTTGAATTTCCGCGCGCTCAACTTAGCCGAATTTGCTCTATTTTATGCCAAGCGTGCTTCTCACAAAATCCATTTTCAGAAACAATAGTTTTTCGTGGAAGAGAAGATAATATCGCCAACTTTGAGGTTTGGCGATGGGAAATCGCCTAGCACCAATCCTTGCCATCCTCTTCCTTGACAGAATTGAGAACCAAGTCATCTACGCAGATCTTTCACTTTATCACAACATTGATGATTGTATCGCCCCTGCCAGCAGTTCCGAGGAAGCTCGCCAGATTCAAAACCACTTGAATTCTCAAGATTCATCCAGATCGAACTACCTAGTGAAGATGGTTTTCTACCTTTCTTAAACACCAACACCTTACACTTCTATATGTTCCAACAATGCCTTACTTCAAGAAGCTGAACAATCCTTCAAGACAAGAGCCCAAAGGAATGGTTACAACCAGCAGTACGTCAACCGAGTCAGATACAAACTTAAGAAAACCACTCAACATCATAGTGAACCCCTACCCACATTCCATTCCCTACATCTCAAGTGCATTCACCAACGACATAAAGAAAGTGGTAAAGCAAAGCAACTTGAACATTCGTCTAATTCAGTGTCCCCAAAGTTCACTGAAAAATCTCCTCATCAAATCAAGACCTTATGACAAATCATGCAAGGATACAGAAATGAAATGTGACCTCTGACAAGACGACGACGGTTTGTACATTGGTGAGACAAGTCGCCCATTATCTGTACGGCTTCAAGAACACTACCGATCTGTAGCGAATCCAACAGCAAAGTCAAATAAGAACATGAGCTAATCAAAACATTATAAGGCGTCACATGACGATCAAAAGCCAAAACTTACTGCAAGAGTACTGGAAAAAAATAATAATATTAATATTGTAGATTTTGTTATTTAACTTCTTTATTTTGTAATTCTAATTTGTTTTGCTAATTTAAATTTTCTCGGACACATCATCTTTGAATGCTTGCGCAGGTAAATTGCGAGTGCAACAGTTAAAAAAGCGGCAATCTTTATTACCTGAAGATGGAGTAACACTCCGAAACATTGTAAACAATAAAATTGTTTTATTTTTAAGCATTTGTGGTCGTTAATTCCAAGAAATTAAGTAAAAACAGTTTATTGGAAAAAGCAGTCTATTCTTTATAGTTACTAAAATGAACATTTCAAAACATTTTACCTAGGGAGTCAGGTTAAATTTTACATTAAAAGAAAGCTCACAAAATGCAGAACAACATACCTACAGTACACATTTCGAAAATTCATTGTTATATAGTTCAAAGCAATAATCTTTTAACTATTTTTGCGGTGTTATACAAAAAATATAATAAAATTTAAATTTATCATGTTGCCATGTCATGTTTATCATGTTGATCAATTACTAATACTGTTTGTTATTAAATGTTTGGAAATACATGCAAGGGGTTGCTGCATGCATGTATTGCTATATATTATTATGTAATTACAATGTAATATTACGTCTTGGTGGAGTACAGATGTCTATTCGGTAGCTCAGATCTTTTGAAGCATTTTCTGATTTTTTGAAATAGATTGATAATTTGAAATATGTAATAATCATTTATGGACTAAAGCGGCTGTTAAGAAATATAGTAACATACTGTTAATTCAAATTAAAGCGAAGTTAACAGTGCCCGTAACCAAACAAGCTGTTGTATCTCAGCCCACTGAATCGGAAGCTAACATGGGTGATGTACATATCAAGTTAAAGAACTTGAAATGAATTTAAAGATATGTTGTCCAATGCTGTAAATATTCTTGTCGATAATGCTGTTAAATAAGCAACAGCACCCATGTTGGACAAGCAACAGCTCCCAGGGGCGGATTCAGACCGTTGCAACCGTAGCATATGCTACGGTCAGATTTTCCCTGAGATACATTTTTCCAGGTTGTACCTTTTTTAAAGTTATTAAAAACTAAAACGTTATACTATTTTTAATTGCCGTTATTTTCAATTTTTCATTGAAACTTGATGCAATTTTTTTAAAATTTACTAAATCATATTGATACAATTTTATCGAGTTTTTATTTCATTTTGGATAATTCAATTCGGGTTTTTCTCAAATTTCCGCCCGAAATACTGCCTGTATTTGCGGGTTTTGCACTAGTACTATATCACATCATTCTGAAGTCGTAGCATTTGCTTCATTGTGATTGGCTTGCTTCGTCTAACCGTAGCAAACCAATCATAGCGCTGTATTTGGAAATTTTTGCAGTGGTCAGATTGAAACTGACCATTGCAAAAATTCGCAAATACGGCGTGCTGATTGGTTTGCTACGGTCAGACGAAGTAAGCCAATCAGAATGAGGCAAAATGCTACTGTTTGCAATAATCGCATCGACTTCAGAGCGATGCTGGCTTGTTATTGTCGTGTCGGCTCCTCGTTGTAATCGAATAGTCGGTAAATTTTAATCGCCGCTCGTTCCAAGGAGAAAGATATGGCGGCTTCTACATGACTCCACGATCTTCTGTGTATAATGAACGAATGTAAACGTGTTTCATTTAACGAAAATGTGCGCGAAAGAATTCTGATCGAAAGCTTTTGGTGTGCGATTATTGGCATAATTTGCATTTCCCGCGATGTGAACTGTGAAGACAGCGCTGTTTGAATCACCTCCGTGTCAGGTCAGTCTCATGAATAGTATATTAAATATGTAAATAACATATCGAACTTTACACAGTTCATGCGTCTCGAATATATTACCATATATTTGCTGATGAAACCTATCATTATAAAAATGCAGAACAATATCAATGGCCACTCACACTATTTGATAGCCATTGCCGGCATGCCATGTGTGTTTATATTAAGAAATATGTTAGTTAATCTCCTATATATTTTATATCTTAGACTTTGCTCATGTAATTATTAGTTGTAGACCTGTAGTCTATAAAGACTAGTGAGTAGTGTAAATGAAATTTATAGAAATAGTTACACTCCGATATATTATATTGTAGTTTACATGTATACTAACAGAGTTTAGAATTACAACAGCTGAGCCTGCTTCCTGGGATATTAAACGTATCATAAATATATGGTTAGCTGTTTCAAATCCATGTATTGTATACCTTACTTGTATTAAAATTCGCGTTGTATACTCATTTTCGTTCAGCTTTAAATTCGCGCATTCCAATTTCGCGAAACTTGTTCGCGCAGCTTTAAATTCGCGCAAATAATTTTCCGTGTTGGTTCCTTTTGGTTTGATTAATAGAACTATAACAACAAATACTTCAATATTTGTCAAAACAAAATTCATGATAAAAGTAAAGCCTGGTTCACATATGCCTGCGGCATACCTGTGACTGTATCATTATGCCTCTACTTGCCGCCGAAATACCGGCAAAGTTGAACCTTGAACTCAAGTCTCAAGTCAACTTTCCCGGCCTACCGCCGATGTAACTGTGGCACTGGAGGCAATCGGCGAACAAATGTTCACATAATTTACGTTTTAAAGCTACCATCGGCATCGTCGCCGGTACGTCGCAGGCATATATGTGAACCAGGCTTAAAGCGTATAAAGTTCAAACTTCAAAATGTATGGTTTTCATTTGCTTAATACAATAATAATAACTAATTTTATTAGCATCCCATATATTATAGGTTCGCCAGACTGCAGAGTACGGCAAGTGCACACCCGAGTTTTTTTTGGCCAATGGTATTGCACACTTAAACATATTTAAAATATTTTCCAGTTTTGTCAGGCATTAAAATAAGGACTTCTAAGACAAGTGTAATATAACAACCACCTGAATATCGGGAACGCTGATTCATGAGCGCAAATGAAAAATGTCCATTAAAGTTTCGAATTTCTATCTACAGCAGAGTTTTGCGATCATCAGGTTGTTATGATTAAACAAAACCGTATAGCATGTAAGCTTGGGCACAAGAGAACTTATAATTGGTCCGATTTCCTCGAGGCGCCACCATGGTTGGCGCCGAGCGGAAAATTTTTGAAATTTGGAGTCCCTACATTGTCGGAAATGGCATTTTCGAGTGAAACACTTTTCCATTTACAACTCAATTACAAGGACATGCACATTTTCCTTTTACAGGACAAAAAGTGTGTCAAAAACACGCTATTTTGTACATGTTCATAATGACTTTTAACTCCGATCGAAATATATATTCTTGTTTGTTCGTCAGAATTTGGACCACGTTTTGTTTTCCTGAGAGGCAGAAATTTTAGTTATTTGTACAAATAAACAATCATTGTTTAATATCATTAGAACATGCAGCTATTTACAAGTGCACACTTGACTACGTTAACTGAGGATTGCACACTTGCACACCTGAATTTTTGTCTTGCACACCCGAGATCTTGTCGAAAACTGCCATACTCTGCAGTCTGGTAGGTTCGTATATGGTATTGCCTTACATTATATTATTTACTAACAACGAGTGAATATTACACCGCAAAGCTTTTCGTGTGGATTATATTTCCTGCAGTACTAAAATTTGGGCACCCAGCTCTGCGCGAATTCCTGCAGTATTGCTCGAATTTTAGTACAAATAAACATTTTTCCTAATTGCCGTTGTGCTGCTGTTTCAAGATGATCTACAAATAAACATTTTCCCTATAACTTGGAGATAATCTATATACAGTACAGAAAATATTTCAGTTTCCTGACTGCCATAAGTTGTCCTGCTGTTTCGGGATGATCTATATATGCTGCTGCTTAGCCAGATAAACATTGTCCCTAACTGTCGTTGGGCCGCTGTTTCAAGATGATGTACATTTGAAAACTTTCGAACTACTGTTATCTTACTTTTTCAAGATAATCTGTTGTTCGAAGTGGTATGTTGATGAATAAATTTTGTAACTTTTGTGCGTTTTTTTTCTGACTTTGGTGTGAAAAACAGCCACTTTTCTACAAATTTTAAATCTAATTTCGATGCTCAGAATGCAGGAAATGGTACTTGCGGGCTTCAAATTTCAAAAATTTTCTGGGGGGGCATGCCCCCAAACCCCCCTAGGTAGGGCGTGGCCTCCGGCCCCGCATGTTGATTTCATCCAAAATGCTACGGTCAGATTGAGACGCTGAATCCGCCCCTGGCTCCCATCTTTGGTTTATCTTTAAGACATCCAACATTGCTCCATCACTTGATAGTGATAAAAAACCCTCGAATGCGCACACTTGTTTGAAGGATTTGGTGACACATTGTCTATCTTCTCACTGCTTTATGGATCTGCTACCAAATTTACAACGTAGCTTTACAAAATAATACTTGAGACTTAGGTTTGCATCAGCAACACGTTTTGGAGCTTGTTTCAATGCTGCCGCCAGTGTCCTGACATCTCGCTTCCACAACTCACAGAAGTTCCACCCCTCATATCTTGCCAGCTTCTTGCAAGATAATAATAATAATAATGATTTTATTACAGTATTTCCAGGTGAGTGGCTCTTCATCTGTAAACAAACTATTTTCTATACTACAATTGTTATAAAATAGAAAGGGTTCTATAGACCTTATTCATAAATCGTGACAAGGCCTTGTATCCTAGGATATGGAAACAAAACGCGGGAAAACAAGTGAAAACTGCTTCACAAAGCCTTCAACGGCTTGTTTCTTGTTGCTTTTTGCAATTTCAATCGCAAAATTGTGAATTAAATATTCAAATTTTATATGACTATGCGACTAGTTGTAGACTTGGGAATGTATTTATTAGCGAAAAATCCCACAAATCCAGGGCATTTTCGACTTATTTTTTGCCACAAAGCACGATTTTTTACATGCACACGACAAATTACTAAAACTCAAAGTTTCATACGAGCACAATATATAGGAACAGTTACTATTTTTAGAATTTTAGGGTTACTGGTTAGGGTTAAATTACGGTTAGGATAGCCACACCTTTAAACGTATAAAAAACTATAGAGAATCCGGTTCAAACAATATCGATTGTGAGCTTGTGCCCACACGAATTTAGTAAGCGAAATAAACAAGAGCACTAATAAAAGCGCATGCGCCATTTATTTCATTTTGGATTAAAATCCGATTTCCCCAGAGTCATGCCACTATCTAACCTGTGAACTGGCATACTCTGGGAACGAGATTGGAGAAAGGTTTATTATGAGATTTCAGAGTGATGCCCCCCCCCCATCACTATAATGGTCCGCCACCTAAAGTTGTTCATATTGCCATTAGTGGAATACTCGAGTGAAAGTCTCTTAAATAATTACGTATTATATAAAATGAGTGGTATAAGCATTTGTAATTGGGCACAATTTCCTACTATTGTAGATCATTGGAAACGGTGCAACAGCCAATCGGTGCTTGTGTTTATATATGGCATATATTGGATGCATATTGATATATGGCATATTGGAGGCGTTATCGCAAGTGCAGTGCTGAGGCCAGTGCTCTTGCACTACATGATAGCAATAGTGACGGAGAGACTGATCAAATCTCCAAATGGCAATGGCACTTTGTCTGGCTTAGAAATAGATCCTACCAGTTGTGCACCTGATAAAGTAGACGTAGAAGATTCCTGTAATGCTAGCTCCTCCCCTCCATGTGATAACCAAGCTGGTGCTAGTTTTGAAGGACGTATTCTATCAGATAGTTCGTCTTCTTGTTGTTCTGATCGGCATTCTGATTTTGACGAGTCCGTTGAGTATGAAAACTTTGAAGTTGATATTAACGCTCCTTCTTCACCAATAACTTTACGCAAGGAGCTGGCTACTTGGGCAACTAAACACCATTGTAGATGAGGACCTATAAATGAACTTCTTGAAATTTTAAGAAGGGAAGGACATTCTTTGCCAAAAGACAGTAGAACTCTTTTAGCTACTCCCATGAAAATTACAACTTCAGAAAAGTGCGGTGGCCAGTATGTATATCTTGGTATACAGCGCGGTGTACGTCAAATGCTACCTAAGTATCCATCATTCCTAGAGAAGCATGAATCTATTGATCTAATGATCAATGTTGACGGACTTCCTCTCTTTAAATCGTCAAATGCTCAATTTTGGCCAATTTTAGGTTGCTTTGATGGCCTTCATGTGTTTGTAATTGCTTTGTTTTCAATTATACTATTTAGCTGCATCCATCCGATAGACCCGCGTATTGACCCGCATGCATATGCCGGCACGGCCTCATATGAAACCCAAAAATACTTGAATAGAATATTATAATAAGTAAACTGTCTTAATAATTGCAATTCTCTCCACAATTTTTTTCCTCTATAGATGACAAAAGCGTGTGCGACCAATACGACTATACCACCTCAGAGGAAACTACTGTGGAACTGGCTGATGAGAACGATGGACCAAGACATAAGTCACTACAAGGTCAGATTTGGCACCGACAAGTGCCTCTGTCACATAACTAAATATATTTCTGATTAATAAAGAAATCTCTATAATTAATTCAAGTTGGCCGGCGACCGGCCTTGAATAATCCTCTACTTAATCTATTACCAATTGAGTTTGTTTGGTACGTTAACTCACAGCTATATATATATATATATATATGATTTCGATATTTTATTATGGACAAGTGTCCATCCAGGGTCACAAGGCCTGGACACTACGTTTGATCACTATGATCACGTAGTGAGCTCACAAGTGGAAGGAAATAAAGTAAGCAAGACCTTGAGAAAAAAAATCAACAAAAAATATCGAAATCATATATTATGCTCGTTCGGGGTACCACGTTCTTGAGCACTCTATAGTTCATTGTATAGACTTATGCGCGCCTCGTGCTTAGCGAGTGTTGCTGCTTTGTCGAATGTCAAACAAAGACATAAAAATATGAAATATATATATATATATATATATATATATGCATTACAAGCTGCATGATGTTCGTTATTAAATACTGTTGTCTGCATGTATAGCAAATTTTGTTGCGTGAGCTACTGAGTTAGTACTTAGTAGCCTGCATGGCAGGCATTCTGTTGTGAACGGACAAGCAGATATATGAGTGTATGCAATGGAGTGAAGCGAACTACTGTATAGTTTTTTAGTTGTTCAATTATTTTACTCATTGAATTTATTTACATAGACATTATGGTTCCTTTTAATTCTACTATTTTATTAAAATTATATTAGCAATTACACAAAGAGTAAGAATAAAATATATATAAAACAATATATAAAATGAATTATTACTATTTTTGCAGCAAAAACTGCAAAGTCAATGAGTGTAAGGTCTGAGGAGCGAGAAAATAAGATTAGTGGCAGTGAAGAAGAAGAAAAAGAAGATGACGAAGAAGGAGGCAGCCAAGAAGGTGATGTAGGTTAGTTTACTTCTATGTTGTGAGACATCCGAGACTTGCAGGTCGTGTTTTATTAGGTCTAAAGCCACTCGCGCTGCGCGCTCGTGGCTTTAAACCTAATAAAACACTCCTGCTTGTTTATTAAACAGTACATTATTAATTTTAATTAGATCTTCCAGTCCCGCCAAGAAAGTTTAGTCTGGCAACACTGCTTCGCCATCGAGAATCACCTCCTAGCTCTAGTGATCGAGCCAGTTCATCAACGGCCAGCAGCAAAGGGTTTCCAATGCCCGAAGCAAGTAAGTTCCAAACTGTGAATTTGTAAATTAACACTTTTTTGATCTTTGTAAATAATTATCTGTGTTTGTGTGACAAATCTAATAAACTCAAAAAAATAATAATTCAATAAATATAGAGTTATATAAACACGAGTGGAAGTTGGGAAAATGAGAAATTTTGTGGAAACGCGTACGACGCCCGAAGAGTGTTTATATTATAACTCAATATCATCATTAAATATTACATTATTGATTCATTAATGATAGAGTTTAAAATTTTTTTTAGAATTTCAAAAGAGAGTGTTGCATTTGCGGACTGAAATTAGGGACTCAGTCGCAGCAGTGGGCAAAAGATGCGAGACACGGGACTCTGAGTTTACCATAGGCCAAATCACTGATTTGGCCGTGTTTAAAGAGCTGGAGAGCAGCCTAGTTTCTGACGAAGAAAAACCAAACTCTTCATAAGTCTTTAATATTGTTTACCATTTTTAATTAATTAAAATATGTACGATATACTGTAGACTCTCTCAAAGTCCATATAATTTTACCACCTTCCCCTGATCCCAGAGAGAGACTTGTTGCATGTCTGTCCATAGATATACCGTTGATCGAAGGGTAAGACAAAAAACAGCTTAATTATATCATGGATTGTAAAATAAATGGATAGGACAAAAGCTGACATCACAGTCTAAACCTAGTTGCAATTTGTGACGTCACGCATATTGCCAAAGGCATTTTTGTGGTTTCGCTATATTTCCGCTTTAAAAGAGTAATGTTGAACTGGTCCAATTGTTTTAAAAACATGCCTAAGTGTTCAAAGTAAATGTTTTTCGTCCTTGTTTTGTATTTTTTTTTCATTTGTATTGCTACGAAATGGGTGTAATCAATTTTGGGATGGTATTTTTCACTGTATAGTGCTTGAAATATTTGCTAAAATTGACTGGAAATACTTAGAGATTTCATCGTAGAATGGTGTATAGTTACATTTATTTGCTCTTTGACTAAAATGTTTAGCTGTATTATTGCTAAACATGCCATTTTTGAGAATTTGGTTTGCAACTAGGTTTCAACATCCAACCACGCCATCATCCCTTTGAAAACATTAGGTCACGTCAGCTAGTTTCCTATCCATTTATTTTATTATCCATGATTATACACAGATTAGAAATTGACAAAGGAACCTAAATTTTATAAATTACTTCAGTCATGCAGGCCATTTTTTTCACTGACGTGCATACCAATAAAATTCAGGTTTGAATGGGAAATAGCTACTATACTTTCTATGCAAAGATATTGAAGATTTTGAATTCGTTTTTAGCTCCGTAAAGTTTGTAAAATTGGTGGAATTACTATAAAGGAAAATGTCCGCAATATAATGTCCAAGTATGTATATAATTATAAATGTTCAAACTTTAAAAGTCAAATAAATAATTCGGGCTTATATATGTATAATTGTAATTTATTGGCTCTAGCTTGCAAATTACATTTCCCCCCAACAGATATTTTACACAAATAGTTTTAAATTAACGGCATATATAAATCTGTTGTACATACTGATTCTAGTAATAGGTATAAATAAAAGGGATTGGTAGAAATGTTAGATTTAATTTCTTCATTCGCTGGTTCAATATAAATGTAAAATCATTAAGAATATACAAATACTGCATGGTGCATGTCAAACCAGATTAAACTATAAGAATTGGAGAATAAAGTAAACAGGCAAAGAGATATATTGCATGCGTTTATTATTTTAACAAGCTCTATATAGCTCCTGTGCAGTGTAGCTACCTTGAAATAAATATAAGTCACAGCTATACAGTAGCATTCATTTAATTATTTTGCATACATTTTATTCCACAGATTGATGACCAATGGCCTAATGTCTAAGATGAATATGAAAGGTCATGGACAAAAAGTACACCTTTGGAACGTCCAAAATTTTTGAAGTTGTTACAGGTACATATATTTGTATGGACTGTCCATACTGTAATTGATCATGAGAGCATGCATGGCTTAATTAATATTTTTCTTCAATAGTTGGCATGGCACGAATAAAACCTTTTACTTCTGTATGCTTATATAGGTGGTCCAAGTACTAATTAATGAAATTGGCAAGGTAATTGGCACTTTCATCCGAGCCGTACCACATATACCTCTGTATTTATACACATGAGCGTGCTCTCACCAAGCGCATGTGATACAAGACGAAGGTATCGACGCATCCAGACATATGAAGGTTTCTGCATGCATGTATTTTCTAGGAATATTTATAACATCTCCTTACTCTGATTTATTATTACTTTGATTTAGAAGCCATTCTAAAGAACCATACGTCCAACGAAGCAGAGGTGGCTCGAGCCGTTTCTTCTTTCCTGAAGTATGCTCCTGATACAAGAAGAAGGGCAGGGTGGTCCTTGAAGGTCCTCTAATTTCCCCATGGAACACGACTATTTTTACAGTCATTCGATTATGTATATAATATATTAGTATATTTGTTGAAACAACATTTACATGTATTCGTCGTGTTTGACAACCAACTAATACGTACATCACACTTTTACAACGTTGTTTTAATCTAGATAATCGATAACGCATTTTGCGTTTATTTAAAAAAAAATATTTGACGTTCTTAATTATAGTGCTTATATAGACTGCTTTTGATTTGTATTTTCAGCCTTTTTAAATGTTGCTTCGAACTCGATAATTCATGCAAAAGTGACGTCCTTGTTCGACATTGAAGCAATGTTGCAACGTCGTTTCGCCTGCATTATCAACCTTTTTTCAACGTTGTTTCGACGTCGATAATTGTCATCAAAGCGACGTCTTAGTTCGACGTTGAAGCGACGTTGCTTAGTGACGTTGTTTCGACGTCTTCAAATCAACATTGTTTCGATTTGCATTCTCAACCTTTTTTCAACATTGTTTCGACATCGATAATTGTCATCAAAGCAACGTCCTAGTTCGACGTTGAAGCGACGTTGCTTAGTAACGTTGTTTTGACATCTTCAAATCAACGTCGTTTCGATTTGCATTCTCAACCTTTTTTCAACGTTGTTTCGACGTCAATATTTGTCGTCAAAGTGACGTCATTGTTCGACATTGGAGCGACATTGCTTAGTGACGTTGTTTCGGCGTCTTTGGATCAACGTCGGATCGATTTGCATTACAACGTTTCAACGTCAGGGGCTGAAAGGTCAACGTTGTTTCAACGTCAGGGGGTCAAAGGACTCAAGCAGTCCAGCGCCACCACTTTCAGGTCTGCAGTCATCAAAGGACTCAAGCAGTCCAGCGCCATCACTTTGAAGTCTGCAGTCATCAAAAAACTCAAACTCAAGCAGTCCAGCGCCACCACTTTCAGGTCTGCAGTCATGAAAGGACTAAAGGAGTCCAGCACCATCACCACCGATTTCAGGTCTGCAGTCATCAAAGGACTCAACCTCAAGCAGTCCAGCATTCAATAAAATCACACTTGCAATTGAACTTGTGAGTTCAACTGAACTTAACAGCATAAGGCTTTATTAAGACATCTAAAAATATCATTAGTAATTAATTGTTTAATATAAGTGTATAGTCTAATCAGTGACAGTGTATTTCTTTGTTAAGAACATTTAGTGTTTGTTTGTTTGCATGTTTTCTCTTGATAACTTTATTAAGACTATTAGTAAGACTATTAGTTAATTGCTTTCTTGATGTACGAACTGCCGAAGTTCATGCTTGCAGCTTGCAGTTTTAGCAGAGCATAATCAAACTTTTGGTTGTTCGTACATGGAGAAAGTGACATATATTGTCATGTTTATAATGTTACTTTAGACACTTGTGAGTTGTTTGTCAACATATTTTGACATATTATTCTGTAAATATATATAATTTAAACATAGTTAGAAAATTGCCTAATTAGAAAATTGGGGCTTTCTCAAGGTATGAACAACTGAATTGTAGTAGTGGGTAATACTTTACATTATACCCATGATTTCATTTGTTCATACTCCTAGGAAGTACTGAAAATAGTCATGTTTACTGTTATGGTTGTTGTGTCTATAGAGTTTAGGAGGACCATATTGGAAAAAAGTTGTAACTTTATCTGTTTATCCTCAATAAATAAAGTGTTACTATTATTAAATTGTATTGTTTCCTAAGAACAATTTATGGCCACACAATTGAAAAAATTGTGTACAATGTTTTTGATTTATCACTACCATGTCGGGGGTTTTATATGTGATAAAAAATCATGTCATTTACATAAACTGTAGTTTGGATTTTTGCTGGTCAGACAACGTATGTATTTTTTAAATACTTGCAGGCCCTGCTTTATCAGATATTAAACACTCTACGCCCTGCTTGTGTTTTACCAAATCTATCTTTATATTAACCATAGCCGGCAGATGTGGGAGGCTATATTGGGGTGGGGGGAGGCTATAGCCCCAGACTACTTGTAGTGATACTAATACTACTGCTAGCACAACAGCTACAACAAAACCATGGATTGTAAAATAACTGCATAGGAAACTTTGTGATGTCACACTCTGAACCTTAGTTGCAAATTGGCTTTCAAAACACAAATTAAAATTGAAAATATAACAATTTAAAACCAAGATTTATGTTTGTAAATATGACTAAGCCACAATAAAAGGATAAATCTACTTGTTGAAGTATGTCATGGGTAAAAATACACAGACTAAATACTCTAAATATGCGTCGCCATTTTCACAAAATATGGAACAAATAGGCTGCTATTCTGTTGTAAACTGACAATAATGTAAATAGTAAAGATGAACACTTGCCTTAAAAGTTGTTGTGTGGCTTAGGCAGGTTCATTTTGGCCATAGATCAGTGTAAAATACCAAAAGACAAGAACAAACACATTGTCAAGCAAAACACATGAAAAGGTAAAACAAATCTCAGTCAAAAGTACAAGAAAATCAACAATATTTCGCCATTGTTAACATCACAATTTGCAACTAGGTTTCAACATCTGTCGAGCAAAAACAAAGACCTTTCAGCCAATCAGGGGATGAAAACATGTCATTGACTACAGTTTCCTATCCAGTTTAATATTTTACAATCCATGAACAAAACTAATAATTTGTAATTTAAATATTTAAGAAACCACAGGTTTTGGGAATGTTGTAAAACATGGACTGGACCTTTGACTGGACTGGACTTGTAAAACATGGACTTGTAAAACATGGACTTGTAAAACATTGACTTGTAAAACATTAGCCTGCATGGCAGGCAGTCCCTAAAATTGGGCAAGCCTAGGAAAGACCACCTTGCTGGGTTTGGCAGTGTACTGCATGGCAGGCAGTCCCTAAAATTGGGCAAGCCTAGGAAAGACCACCTTGCTGGGTTTGGCAGTGTAATCGAATTCTCCGTCCACCAGTGGACGGGAATTGATGATTGGCTGCTAATCTGAGCAGCTGTCACTCAAAAGTGAATATGCTTTAATATGTAACATTATACGTTTACGTTTAAATGAATGCGTTCACGAGCAAGAGATATCAGTTAAAGATTTACTCCTTGGAAAGAATGTTTTGGCCATTCTATCTACAGGTTATGGGAAATGCTCGATTTTTAGATTGTTCTTGTTGGCAGGAGAAAATATAACGGTAATAAATACAGATGGCCGTATCGGCATAGTCTTTCTTGCAACAGGTTAACTGTGGTTTAACAAGACTACTAGGTCTATTAGCCGCTTTATTTTCTGAACTTCTCAAGGCTTCCACACGGCTTTGTTCGGCAGACAAGACAGTTATATTTGCAACTGACGTTTTTATACAACAGTCTACTTATTCGATAGTATGTACACAGACGTGTTTATGTCTCATAACATGGACTTGTAAAACATGGACTTGTAAAATATGGACTTATCTTCAAGCGAATTTATTATTGATGATATGTTTCTCTATATGTACACCTATATAGAGAAACAGGTAAAAATACACAAATTACTCTGCTGTGCTCGCTTTCCCCTTCCCCCACCTTATTTTGCCCCCGGAATTGGACAGACAATAACAGAATAGATTGGACTGAGTCAACATAATTTAACTTCGAAAATATTTTATCCTTTTTTGCATATCTATATGTTAAATAGTTTTTTAATTAACCGCTAACATTTTGCCAAAAAATCTTCCACTATTTGCATGGTATGCATTTTCGATCATAGCTAGAATGTTGTAATTAAGGCAATGAAAGTCTCTGATTTGCATTCACCGCCCGCGTGCTTCAAAAGCTACCACGTGAAAATTTCATTATTTAGGAAAAAAATTCATTATTTGCAGAAAAAACTAACCATTACAGAATTTCAAGTTGCAAATCGTCCAACAGCAGCAAAACAGCCAATTTCGCATTCATATAATTATATAAACATTGTATCTGTATTCTGTAGTTCGATAATTTTGACTTTTAGACAGCATATTTTCGACATAATATATTTAGTGCTTCAGTAAACAATTTCTTCAGTAAACAATTTCTTGGAAATTTAAGGAAATGTCATTAGGAAAAGAGGAAATTTGGATTTTTAAGTGGAAGCACTGGCTAAAAGACAAATAATGAATAATGAATAATGAAAAAATACCGCATGTGGTTTGAAAATTTAGGGAACGCAAATCAGAGACTTTCATTCCCATGGCCTAAGCTTTAAGCTAAATTCAGTTGCAAAACATTAATTTCAACCTCGTACCCAGGTTCTCAATCTTCGCTCCTACCTCGCTTGAATTGAGACCCTGGTATTGGCTGGTCATGTGACCATCATATTTTGGCGGATTTGTTCAATTGTTTTAGGGAAAGTATAGGAAGTAAATATTGTAGTAAACATTAATATTGTTAAAATAGCATTACAAAACGAAACAACTCAGTTACTATCCTTTTCCCAAAAGCAATTGAGCAAATCCGCCAAAATATGACAGGTCACGTGACCAGCCAATACCAGGGTCTCAATTCAAGTGAGGTAGGAGCGAAGATTGAGAACCTGGTTACGAGGTTGATAGTATGGTAGAGTTAATAATGCCTATCATTAAGACAAGTTACTCATTTCCTAAAAATGTATCTATGGTACCGGGTGTCCAACCTCAGCCGAGAACCCGCACATAGTTATCCAAAAAGCGGTATGGTGACATGTGACAAGCGTGTGTGAATTGGTCAACATATATTTTGTGCTCACATACCTTGGCCGTATCTGAAAATATAAAGCGCCTGAAAGAATTTCTAGCATGGTTCAAAAAGCAGAAACACATCCCGAATGTGCTGATGACTATTATTACCAACATCAACATGCCGCAGAATAAAGGACGCAAGTCTGAAACACGAAAGAGAAAAGGAGCCGCCAATACAACACCAACGGAAGGAATGCCTGTTGTTGCAAGTCGTGTTTGTTCAATCACAGCCATATCAGCAACCTCGAGCCACAAATAATGAGTGCTTCCAGACTGGTGTAACATCAACAAGCGCTGGCTTTCATCATGAAATAACATTGGCAAGTTGTACCTTTCGGCCTTCAATGGCACCGTTAATTAAGCTTTTCCTTTCAGCCTACAATGGTGTCACCGTCAAGTGTTTTCTTTCAGCCTATGCAATGGCATCATCATCAAATGTTCCATTTCAGCTTACAATGGCATCATCGTCAAACTCAAGTGTTCCATTTCAGCCTATGATTTCTTCTTCGAGAACATTACGATTTAATATTTGTTAAATTGGGACTTAATTTTCAGCAAAATAACTAAAGATGGAAAATACGTTTATACATGGTTTTATACTGGGTGTCCCCCAAAAAACTTTACCTGTTTGTTTTAATATAACTCAAAAACTATACAAGATATTGAGCTGAAATAAACACCATTACATACAGGAAGGGCTAACTTAGATTTTGATATATAACACTAAATTATCGGCACGATATTGAAAGAGATAGGCGCTTTCAAAATTCGAGAAAATAGGAGAGAAATCGGCTTTTTAAATTAATTGGAAAACACTTGCCACTTTCCTTAGAAACGTTTTAACTCCAGTAATTTTAACTTTAATTCCATTGCAAACTTACTTTCAAAAATAAAAATTACACTAAAGAATGATTCTTAGGAATAAAATAAAGTATAATAATTCAAGTTCCATTCATTCAATGGAAATGTTCCATTTGATGACCCTTGGGATTTGAACTCGCAAGGAAAGAAACAATTGTCTGTCAAATCTAAGTTTTATTGTCAAAATGGTATAGTTAAAGAACTATTTAACATAGATATGCAAAAAGGATTAAATATTTTCAAAGTTAAATTATGTTGATTCGGTCCAATCTATTTCGTTATTGTCTGTCCAATTCCAGGGGCCGGACAAAATAAGGCTGGGGCATGCATGGGCAAGCAATCACACCAGAATAATTCGTGTATTTTTACCTGTTTCTCTATATAGTTGTACATATAGAGAAACATATCATCAATAATAAATTTGCTCGAAGATCAAGTCCACGTTTTACAAGTCCGCGTTTTACAAGTCCACGTTTTACAAGTCCACGTTTTACAACATGTCCAGATTTTGCCATTCTTCCAAGTTACAATATAAATTATTGCCAGAGAAGTACCAGGTAGAGAAGTACCAGGCTATTATTCATAAGAAGGACAATAGATACAGTTACTGAATTAATGCGATTTGTCAATGTCAAATGGTAGAAAGCCAGTCAGACATCTGTGTATATTTGGCATCAGTATATATACATGCCTATGCTGCATACTGTATACCTTGAGGCATTAAAACAGTAAGTAAATTGACATTGTAAAGTTTAGTGGATGCTCTTGTGTCAGGTGCAGTCATCTTCTGCTGACAGGTTAAGAAGATGTAGTCACCTTTGCCTAATCAGTTGAAGCTGAAAAGTGGTATCATAGTTACTACACAGCAACTTATATCTAAATGAAAAGTTCAAAAGTACAATAAATTCCATAATTTTATCATAAGTTACTATTCAAGACATAAAAAATATATTGGTGTTGTACAGTATAAAAATTATGAGAATTCTTTTAGTGGATGCTTGTGTGTCAGAAAGAGGCAGTCATCGTTTGCTGACAAATTAAGAAGATGTAGTCATCTTTGCTTAACCAGTTAAAGCTGAAAGACTTAACATAATTATTACACAGCAACTTATGTCTAAATGAAAAGTACAATAAGTGCTGAAATTGCACTCCTGTGAACCAATCAGATTGTAGGAAACACCATTGTTTCAAAATCAATATAATAAATTCTATAATTTTATCATTGCTGTTGTACAGCATAAAAATTGTGAGAATTACCGCTCTTGTGTCAGAAAGATGCAGTCATCTTCTGCTGACAAATTAAGATGAAATCTGTCTGGAACTGAAGTTATAACGACTTACTTACTATAGTTAACTAGTATACTTATCAGTAATAACTGCTGATTTGCTCCTTAATTTCACGATACTTCAAAAACGACCTTGTGCTTTAAATGCAATCGCGGTAAACTCCTAACCGTAATTGTAAGCTTACAACAGAAACTTAATCGTTGCAACATCATTATTATGAATAAATCCTTGTTTCGGTCACAAATATATTTCTTTTGTAATCTTAACCCATCGCTTTAACCCTAGCTTTATTGTGTGCGAAACATGAGAATCTAACAATAAATTTCTGTTAATACTATTTTATTCTTCGTACTATTTTTTAAATTTTTTAAAAAAATATTCTACTGTTACTCTAATATATATGTGACTAATCAGAACGACAATAGTATGGAAACTCGTACCCATTTTTTTAACCTCCACCAGACCACAATATCAATCAATAAATCTTTTAAGACCACACAGATTATTCAATGCTTTTTATTACACAACAACTGATACAAACATTTCATATTAACTACCGCTTATTCTAAACTTCCTTGATAGCAACAACACTGTTGTTGTTTTTATTGAATACGACAGTAGCAGACACAGTCAATAGCATCAACATGATCTCATTTTCATCACACTGCTGAAATTCCTTTTTACATGCTTGTTGTGAACAAAACAACTTGTGTAGTTGCTGCAGTTTGTCATCAAATAAGACAATTAGTGAAATTTCTTCATCACCGTTATTGAAAAGTGCGTTCGCCAACATTCTGTTCGTAGATTTGGACAATAATTCGACTAAACCACACTCACTGCATTTGGTTATTTGCTTGCCTGGGATGGGAATCATTTTTGTTTTACATTTCATGCAAGATTTAAAACACTGCACCGACTTGATGGCTAGAACAGGACATTGGACATTTTTATATTTTATTTCAGCTACGCTGTCTTCTCTTTCAATTACTTTGTCACTTGGTAAAACATGCAAACGTTTGTTTAAAGTGATATACTTCTTCTGTTGGTAAGTTTTCACCATGACATTAAAAGATGGTAAGATGACCCAGACTGAACATTTTTAATATCATTTTCCCAAAGGACTAATCGAATAGAAGAAGAATTGTCTGTTATAAGCACCTCTTGTTTCTTCAATGTTTTACCTTTCATCATTACTGTTTCTTCTTTCTGTTGAAAGGTAACAGGTCCAGAAACACTGACGTTTGTGGAACTCTCCTTTGCTACGATAGTCTCGATAGCAGTCAAAGGAAAGCAATCTTCATTGGTTGGATCTGCAACTTTAAAATCGAAGTTTGTTTCTTCCTCTTTGGGTTCTTCAAGTTTAGTACGTTTCGTTAAATGAATTTCATCTTCATTTGACCACGTATTCTGCTTCAATCGAAACTTTGTCAACTTAACTGCGCATGCTGCTTCCGACCTTGCTTTAAATTCCTTATGTTTCTCTGCTGAGAAACAAACTGCTCGAAACATTTTATCTTCCGTCTGAACTTGCATGTCGAAATACGTATTATTTGTGGATTGGCTTCAGCCCTGACAAATTATGAATATATCCAATAATCGTAGTATCTGAAATATAAAATGTATGTCTGAGAGAATAGCTACACAAGTTAAAGTTCTTCAATTGGATTGTTTCCACACTCTTAAAAAGGGAATAGTTTTCTTATTAATGTTGAAAACTTTGCAAAGTTACTGTAAAAAGCAAACAAAATGCTAACATGAATTTGAAGTTGGACTTAAAGTTGAATTCAAAGTTGAAGACATACTGCATATCTAAATATTGAACAAAACGATACGATAAAAAGCTAGTTAGCATAATTAGCCTAAACCATTAAGGACATGAAATTTCTTGCTGCATAATCGTATTTTAAAGGCTGTGCTGAATTGCTTGCCAAGTCATCAACGCATCATTCTTCAAACTCCAGAAAACTCCAATAAACATTAAAACATTACATATACATAAAAGCATTAACCTACATATATACTACATAAACATACATAAACAGGCATGTTGTTAGTGTTAAGAACGTCAACATAAACACAAAATTAACAATCGTTAGCAACAAACCAGAAGCACTTGGAGAGAGTGCAAATTCCACCAAGGGGCAACGCCATAAAATCTGACACAAATATCGCTTAGGCATCTGGATCGAAGCCGCAACATTCAAGGATTTTACACTTTACTGCGAGTAATAGTTTTGAATGTTCCAACCAAAAACTAATCATCTGTTGCTTTGTCATATATCCCAATCTGCTCTGAAAATTTCAGAACGTTTTGGGTTAATTTGCATAGACAAACACACATGCACAAACAAACAAACTATAATGTCGGCTGAAACATCACCCCCTTGGTGGAGGCAATAGGTGTAGCTTTCATGTTTAAGCTCTCTTCCGTAATTAATTTTATTTGTTCTTCTTTTTGTTGGTAGACCAATGCTGGTTTTTTGGTTTTTTTCTCTTAGTCTATCAAAGGTCACTGGTTCAATGATCAGTGAAGAAAGTGTTTTAACTGTACTAATGGCCACGCATGTAATTCCTAGTATGGACTCGTTTTTTCCAATATCAACCCAACACTTAAAGCAAAGTCAAACCTTGACTTTTATGAATTGTAAGAGGCCAGGCAAGCTTTAAAGGCAATTGTTGCCTTTCATATATGCAATTTCCAGAATCAAAAGAAACTGTAATAGGTGGTATAGGCACGCCATTCGCGATACCAGCAAACGAAGGTCCTGTGTAATTCTCAAAATGTACCATGACAGCAACTGGTAGGTCTGGCGGTTTGTGGTTTGCCTGATAAATAATATGTTTTACAATCCCTTTTGCTCTACTGCATAGCCCAACGGAGGGTCCAAAGATTTACTCTTAACATAACGTGCACACCTGTGGCAATGTGAATTATCCAGACATATCTTGAGAATTTATGTTTTTGGCTGCTTATTATTGTGTTTTGCATGTACAATTGCAATGGGCATTTTAAGCTCTTTTAATTTTGCGTAATTATATGTTGCAACTTCAGCATTACTGAAATAAAATAGGTATGCACTGCGTACATGTTGCAAGCCATTAGTCACAGCAGGTGCATGAGGTTAACTATAAACTTGTTAAAAGTGTTGGTGTTTGTTGGCATAATTTGTATGCCCTTTTCACCTCTGTGACCGACGTTTGTTACTGCAACATTCAGGGTGTGGACTTTCTTATCATTATTTTGGCCCAAATGCACATGGGTTCCCAGTTTGCCTTTACAAGAAACTGATTAGTTTTATTGGGTCCATGGTACTCCTCTAAAATAGAGAGTGATAGAAATTTTGATACAAATTTTTAAACGTAATGGACCTTTCCCCTTATAACTAAAATTTCGATCTAGACAAAAATTTCATCACAGCTTGAAAGAGCATCACAAAATTAGTAATATTCCAAAGTTTTGTTGCAAAATCTTGTAAAATGCGGAAAATATAGCCTTGCGAAGTTTGCCGTTTTTCAGTCATTTTGTATTACAAACGGGAAATTGACATACGATTCGGGTGTTGGGGCTGCAATTTCCCGTTTGTAATGCAAAATGACTGAAAATTGCAAACTTCGCAAGGCTATATTTTCCTCATTTTACAACATTTCGCAACAAAACTTTGGAATATTACTAATTTTGTGATGCTCTTTCAAGCTGTGATGAAATATTTGTCTAGACTTGCCTAGATCAAAATTTTGGTTATAAGGGGAAAGGTCTATTGCAAGGTCTTTCTGTTATTGTTACCAGGGATGCTGGAACTGGGGGGCAGCTGCCCCTCTCACTAGGAGGGGCAAGGGGGGCAGAAGTGCCCTTTGAGTTATAAAATACAACCCGATAAATCACATTTCCAGTGATGTTTTTTGGGCAAAATCATGAGATGTTGTGTTTGCTTTCATTGGCAAGTCAACACATTATTGTAGCGTTTGCCCCCCCCTGGCTTTTTATTGTTCCGGCATCCTGGATTGTTACATTGGAACAAGGCACAATACACATGAAAATATATTTAGATTTATTGATTGTATTGATTATCAGCTGAAATATTTCATAACATTTTTCACCTATTGTCATCATCACACATTTGCTAACTGAATTTAAACTAAATCCATTTTTCTGGGTGCAATATTTACAAATGTTTGTATAAGGTTTCCTAGAATTAATTACTATTAATTGGTTTTGACTCGTTGCTTACTTCACCTGCCCCCCCCATCAAAATCATTCATGAGAATGGTTGGTGAATACCATTGGGTGGGTGAATACCATTGGGTGGGCAAATATGTTAAAGAGTAAGCAATGGAACAAATTTGAAATCTGCATAATATTTCAAGTGTGCAAGTCTACAGCACAAGTATATAGATTTTGTAATAATTAAATAGAAAAAATCATGCAAATTAAATGTACATACAGATTAACATAACATTCGCTTGATTGATACAGCAAACAAAAGATAAAAATTAACCAAACAATCTAAAGCTAATATGTTACAGAGTAAACGATGGAACAAATTTGAAATCTGCATAATATTTCTGAGTGTGGATTATTAAGTTTACATACTGTACTAGTTACTCATATAGATTGGTATTAAATAGTCATGACAGCAGGTTTCGCATTACATTACAAGTCAATGTTTCTAATGTAAATATCTCGGCGAGTATTTACCCTCCTTTAAAACAAAACGCACCATTGAAATCCTCTCAAAATAACCTTTTGAACGGGGGGGTCAAGTGCCGTCATAACATTACACAAACCAAAACAATCATATATTTATACTTGCAGCTTGGCCAAACATTCTGTTCAACATATCGAGAAAAAGTTGAATATTTTCTAAACTTTTTGTCATTTTCTAAAAGCCTATATTAGTAAAATGCTCTTTGTATTCAAGCGCTTTCGTGTAGAAAGTTTCGTATGAATACAGCAAGTAGAAATATTTATTTTGAATTTTTCAAGATATCGGGTTTTACTTGCAGGCGCATGTGTATTGCATAATATTTGGAGCTCCTTTAGCCGGGATGACGTCAAACTCACGCGTAGAGGTGCAATTTGACCTGTAGAATCCATTTCTGACCTTTGCAGAGTCATACAATACAAAGTCACATTGTTTCGACACTTTCAAGTCGTATTTCCGGTTTGGATAAAATCAAACTCGGACCAGAAATGTAAATCCGGTAATAAATGGCTAGAATTTAGAGATAGAAGGCTGAAAATAACACAGTATACAGCATTTCAAATGGTTAATCGAACAAGACTGTCCCAATGAGCATACGTCTCAAGGGACCGAAGTTATGTTCGGCGAAAGGTATGTTTATGATGTTTATAATTTGATCATATACGAGCTCGCTTGACTTTCAAAGCTCATAAATCGCTATAATGTTGCCATTGACTGAAACTATCATTATGAATAAGTATATATTTTTACACTGAATCAAATGGTGGTATTTTCAATGACATAGCGTTTATTGATTGAAGATATGAACGAAAACATCCATAGCTCAGAAGTATTAAATAGAAACAAAACGTACATACAGATTTACATTACATTCGCTTGATTGATTGATTGATACAGCAAACAAAAGTGAACATTCTTCACGATTTGTGGTGTCACATTGTCCCACAAATCAAGACCAAAAAGAGCAAAAATTAGAACACGCGAAGTTCACACTCCCTGTCGAAGCCATTTTCAAAACAATCGTCATATGGTCGGAATCGTTCAGAATGCAGTCGTAAGTGTCACGTGAAAAATCCGGACACAACAGGACAGATTTGAGTTATATGATAATTGCAACCCATTTAATGGCTTGGAACAATAAGCGAGTACTGTTTTCAAATTCTTTTTATTTGTGTAACTTCACTCGGTTGCCTAGTTAATAACAACTTCTAGTCATCTTCAGAAGAATCGCCATTTCGCAGTCAAAAAAGCAAATCTCTAAATTTTTGCTGATCTGAACTGTTACCACCCACCCTTTTATTAACTGTCAGTACTATCGCTTTGTCAAACTTTTGGTAAGCATAATATCCTTGTTCAGCAATTGAGTTACTTGGTTTATTATGGTATAACGGTTTATCACATACTGGGGACAATTGACCAGGGTCACGAATAAGAATAATTGATTTTCTGCAAATATTTGTTCATGTAAACCAGTCAGTTGCTTGTCTACATCATCTGTCAATCCAGCCAAAAGATTTTTGACCTAACATGGAATACTCATCGATTAAAATGTATTCAATACTGGCCAAACGATCTTGCAACATTGCAAGAGATTGCCCTGATAGGTCTTTCTGATATTTATAATTTACTGGAAGCTTCAGAAGAGAATGAATTGTCACTACACTAATATTGAATGATGCTTTACCAGTAGTGGCTGTTATTACACATTTGTCCTTTAAGGTTTGTCTTACAGCAGCTATAAGATAACTTTTTCCTGTTCCAGCAACACCGTTGATGATCATTAGCAATGAATTCTTTCTACACATGTTCTCACAATGTGACACAATAATATCATATGCATTTTTTTGCATTTCAGTAAAACATGAAATGTTTACTCCGGCTGACTGGTCATGTAAATCTGTCTCGAAAACATCTTTGTTCCTGTTAATCCAGTTTGGCACTTCATCTATTTGTGCACAGGAATAGAAATTATTATCTAACTGCCAATCATATTGGGAAGCTTTTACATTTTCTATGTCAAAATTGTGTAAATTATGATAGTCTGCAATTAAAATCCACTCCTCTTGGTTTAAACCGGATTCATCGCTTTCTTTATCTGATCCTTCATGCACATGCACATATTCCATCGCATTATCAATATTTTCACAAATGCCTGGAACATGAAGTTGGGCATACGGTATGCTTAAGAACAAATGACATGCATTTATATATATGTCTTGATCTGACAAAATACCATTTGGTGAACTAATATCCCATGCTTCCTCAGGTAAATTTGACCATGGTGCATATTTCAAAAGTTGATATTTGCAATATAAGGCATAATATGTTCCCCTTTTGGATTACACAAGTATATAGGAAAGACTTTTGGAACAAATCGTGTTCATCGATGGCAAAGTTCACCTTTAACAATTTTATATTTAGAAACAAATTGCATAAAATTAATATTCATGACATTTGGTACCTTTTCTATGTAAATTTTCCGTTTTGCATAATAGTCAAGCAAAGAGTTACTTGTGCATTGTGCATTCTTGAGCAAAGAGTTACTTGTGCTCTTTCTCCTAACATCCTCATCATAAGCCTTTTAATACTTTTTTCCAAATCACTTAAGCTATCAACATTCCTCATAACAGATCTGAAAACATCATGCATCAGTGCTCAATGTATTTTCATTCTCGCAAAACAGACTGTGTAGCTTGGGCCAGTGCATATCAGCAGAAGAAAAAGTAAAGAAAATAGTTGGGACTGACTCGTGTTCAATTATGGCTTTTAAATCTTGCCTAACCTTATACCAATATGCTAAACTTCCAGTAATATTGCTAACATATCTTGACAATTTAAGCATAAATAGTTTTGAGTTACCGTTAAGAGCCATTTCACACAATTCTTCAATTGTTAAATGAGCTTCTCCTGGATTGTGTTTTAGAAAAATACTATTTTGTTGTAAAGTACGTTTTCTTTGTAGCATATTTAAAGCCCAATATGAAAATCTTGGATGACTTGCATAACGATAACTGAATTTGTTATCCATGTTATCAGCAAATTTAATTAAGTGTTGTATTGTACTAGTCAATGGAACATTTCGTATTAAACATGAATTTGTTGGGGTCGCCTTTCCTGTCTGGAAATGCCATCGTGGCCAGAAATGGTGTTGTCTATTCATTCATTCAATGGCTTTTCCTCTAGTTCAGGCCAATCAATTTTATTATTTAACAATGCAGTTCTAATTGCTTCACACTGTAACAGATCATTCCCGATATCAGGGATAACACTACTTGTTTCTGTAGATTTGTTGTATACAATTTCTTCGTAATCAATGCTAGAATCTTCACCTATATCATTGTCACTTCTTACATCTTCATTCACTGATTCTATAACTTTAAGATCATTTGGAATACCATGTTCTGGTAAAGAACTTAAAGCATATGCATGTTAATTTTGAGATCTTTGTAATGAGGATTATTTTCAATTAACCAGTATAATGCTTCTTCAACTTGGGCTCTTCTAACAGTTACATCCTTAAAAGTACCTCCCTTACCTTTAGTTCTTGTTTCTGTTAAGGGTAACTCTTTTGGATAGTAGGGAAGGTTTTAGCCAATTCACCAACTTTTTGAGGCATATTAATGCAATGTCCCGAATAACCTCGTTGTCCACCAGATTTAAGATACCCTTCATTATGGGCAATGCTCGGGCAATAAGCATCTCTTCTATCTGAGTCAAGTTTTGTAACTGCTTTGGTACAGGTGATAGGATCATAAAGTTTTCGGCTGAAAATTTTGCAGGAACTTCTTTATCTCCGAATATTTCATTGATTTATGAAACTTTTCTATATTTACCTTTATATCAAACTTATTAAAACCAGAAATATCGCTTAATAATGGTTCAGATACATTTTCACTTTCCGGTTTCATATTTACAGAATTAACATCTTTCTCTCTTACTTCAAAACATGCTTGTTTCTTACTGCTAAATGAAAAATTTGTCTCTTTAACTTTTTCAGTGTGGACAATATTTATGGGCTTAGGAATGCCAGTCTTACTGAAGACATTTTCTCTGTTTAGTTTCTCAGATGAATGACTGACATCCAGGTTGTTTTCAATTTTACGTTTCTTACTTGCAACATCCTTCACATCCAAAACAACATAATGCACATGCACCATTATCATGGTATAAATAAATTGAATGTTCATTTATAGGCAACAATCTATCTTCATGTAACATTTGTTTTGAAAACCTATGCCAACAAAAAGCTTTTCCAGCCTTTGTATACACATGTCTGTATCGAGCAATGATGAAGCAGTTAATATCTCTACATCTGTTCCCCAAGTCTTATCACATGCCATTCTTGAATTTAACAAATAATCCTCTAAGGAGCAGTTTATATGTGGCTGTAAAGGGAATTCAATGTCTTTCATGTGGCTTACAATTTTCTGTCGTATGCTTTTATAATAATTTTGTCGACCAGTGCTAGAAATAAACAATTACCATCATCTTTAATTGAATGGCGTTTTATAAGGTGCTCCCAATTGCTTTGACTGCTTAAAATTGTGTTCAAAACTGAAAAGAACATCTAGCAATGAGCATAGGTGTCTTTGGGCAAGACTATTTACAGCACAGAAGATCGGCAAACGATTGTATGAAGAAGATATAATTATATAATTTGATAACTACCAGTATACTTACATACACACTGCTTGCTTTAATACACAATCGCTTCTTCCTATTGACATAAAAACCTAGAAATGAACCTACCTGATCACACAATCATGGAATGCATGATTGCACACCTGCAAGTTTTGTTGCAGTGCTGTTATGCAGTATACAACGTGTGTCCCAAAAAGCCCACAACTCTAATTGAAATAACATATTGTTAGAATTTGAATGCCTCTGCACTCTGCTGAACGCACAAGTGCGTAAAAGCTTGATATGAGTAAATGTTATGCATAAAGAAACGGTTTTTAAAAGAAAGCTGCTTTAAATTCCCAAGAGCAGAAAATTGTGAGCTTTACAAAGATATCTTAATTTCTTAACAAGTCAATATTTAACATATTCCATGTATCTTTGCTTTCAGCACATGCTGTTTCAAACGTTGCGCTTCTCATGTGCGGAACGCATTAAAAACTATAGATAGTCAGCTGAAATGCCACATTATCTATTGTTTCTAATGCTTTCAGCACATGAGAAGCGGGACATTTGAAACAGGCCTAACATAAAAAAACATGACCAATGATAAAAAGTATTCCATGCACATGCTTTAATCCCACTGACATGCCCCTGGTTGCATTGCATGTTTAAACAATGCATATACATAACATCATATTGTGTATAGTATAGTGTACCATGCTATTTGTCAGGCAAAGTACATTTAATTAACCTATGAAATAGCATGCAAAGCATCGTTCTGGCAAAATGCCATACTATAGTCATAGTTGGCTGTTGCCGAACTGTTGATGCCATGTCTCTGTGTCAATTACCCTGATAGTCAAGTCAGATTGAATTCAAACAAAAAAGTCAACAGACAAAACCCTGCTTAAATTATACCAAACTGATCGACAACAATCGAAATGAAATAGTTCCTTTTTAACACTTGAAATGAACACTTTGAGCTGCCGTGCAATTACAATGTCCAATCTTGATTTTACTATATGGTGCTAAGTTAGCAATGATGTAAGAAAAGAGAAAACAAGATAAGGTGAAGAACACAAACACAGAAATATAGCTGTCCAAGTCAGGGGCGCCGGAGCCACGGGGGCAACTGGCCCCTGTTGCCCAAACATTGCGGGGGCAGCACAGGGGCAACAGGTTGCCCTTTTTGCCTGAACTGCACCTCGAAATTTGTGCATTATTGAAAGGAATTGGAATTTAGAACTATTTTTTAAGCAATGTTTAAAGAATGATGATGCGGTACAGTCCGTATGTAAACAAAATATTTGTTTACATTTCGGTATCCAAAATATAGAATTTTGTTCGACAACTATTTATATTTTCATGATTCTAGAATATAATAAATTATCAAGACACAACAATCAAGTCTTGCAAGAACATAAAATGAAATAAAAACCTAAATAAACTGTTTGTATAATAAAAAGAGGGCTCCTTTGTTCATATACGCAGATCAGACTGTACACCATCTTTAAGAAATCTTTGCTAATTAATTTTTAACCAGTTGTAGTAAAATTAATGCTAAATCAAGCAATATACGTCTGTTTACTGATTTTATTTTGCGCCTTTAGCACCGTGTAACGAATAGCTAAAAATCGATCAACATTTCGACGTTTGCGATCCATAATAGCCAGAAGTAATCGAGCATCCATACAGTAAAGTTTTAACAAATATTGCTGCCCAGGAAAATGATGGCTGAGCAGCAAGTGCCCTTTTGACATGGCTGACCCCGCCGCTTCATATTGTATCCGGCGCCCCTGGTCCAAGTGTTTCCAATAAGCAAATTCAGTATATACAGTGTAAAGACAAGCCCAGAAATCAACAGACCACACAATGAATACAAAATACACCAAAACAACTGCATTTATGTAGCATCATGCATGCAAAGCATTCTGGTCGGTTAACAGCGATGCATTCTGGTAGGTTAACAGCAGTGCATTCTGGTTGGAAAAAAACGGAAGTAAAATCTTACTTTCAGAGCCCAATACGAATTAGAATTGCTGACTTGCTCGCTCGCTTCAGGCTCGCTCGCTGCGTTAGCAATTAGTATTCGCATGCCTGTTTTGTTATTGGTTAGTGGTATCCACATGATTAGTGGCGTGATACAGCATGCTTTCACATTCTTTGTACTTTTTTATATTCATCTTTGTATTATTCTATGTTATAATCAAATATGGGTTTTTAAATATGCATTTAGCATTCATTTCAGTCCTCATTTCAACAGGTTATGGGCCCAGGACGTGTCAGTTTAGTTAAAGAAATCGAACGTATGTTTATTTTGTAATTTCTAATGAAATTATCATGGCCTCGCCTTCGGAAAACGCTCCGAAGTTTGTGAAGTTGAACGGTTCGAATTGTGAGGCCTGGGCGTTCAACATGCGGCTGTATTTGAAGAGCTTCGATCTGTATGAACACGCCGATGGGACAGCTGAACCTCCTGCAAGTACTGCCAATGCTGAAATGAATGGACTTATATTTGTGAAGGCATGGACTTATATTTGTTTGCCCATAGAAACAGAACAACAGATTCATGTGAGAGAAACGGAAAATGCAAAGCAAGCCTGGGATGCTCTGCGGAACCAGTTCGCTCGTGAATCGCTCTTACAAAAGGTACGATTATGTCAACAATATTATTCATGTCATTTCCGCAGTGGAGAAAATATGTTGGAACATATTAGTAGACTAAGATCCTTGCATGACCAGTTAAGAGCAATGGGAGTGGAAATAGAGAACAAAGAGTTGGATGAAACTTTTAGCTAGTTTGCCTGAAGACTACATGCCTCTAATCACTTGCACTTGATGCTGTTGGCGAAGGAGAACTGTCCTACGAGAAAGTTAAGAGTATGTTGTTGAATGATGTAGATCGCAGTAATGACACAAAGAATTGTTGAGGATGCATTTTCTGCCAGACGTGGAAAATTTGGCAAATCATGGTGTGGTAGTGGAAACACAAAAAGTAGTGGAAACACAAATCAACAGAATGATAAGGTATTTCGAGGAAAATGTCACACTTGTCAAGAAAAGAGATTGCCCGAAGCGAAATCATAGAAATGATTCACATGGTCCCACTGGAAAAGAAACCAAGTTGAACGGTTCTGCTTGTTGTGCTGAAAACCAAAGCCCGTCTAGTTGCTCAGGGTTACTCACAATCACAAGGTATCGATTACCATTTTTCGTTGTTAGCCATTGCCAATGTGTGCGACTGGGAAGTTCATTAAATGGATGTTAAAACCGCATTCCTGCAGGGTGATCTGGAAGACGAGATTTATATGAAACAACCCGATGGCTTCATTGATGAGGAATGACCAGGCCAAGTATGCAAGTTAAACAAGAGCATTTATGGATTGAAGCAAGCAGTGAGGTGTTGGAACGTTGCTATTGACACTTTCTTGTTGTCCAATGGATACAGGAATTGCGGGGCTAATCCATGTGTATATATGAAATCTAAGTTGGTGCAGTAAGCAACCAGCTTGTGTATCAATATCTACTACTGAAGCTGAATATATTGCACTTAGCATAGCCTGTCAAGAAGCAGTATGGTTAAGGAGATTGCTTTCTGACATTCAGGTGAAACAATGTGGTCCTTCGACAATATTCAAAGACAACCAGGGTGCGATTGAACTGTCAAGGAACCCTAAGTTCCATAATCGCACAAAACACATAGATATATCATATCACTATGTAAGAGAACAGAGGTCAACCTAAATACAGTATCTGTCAAGTATTGTCCAACTGAGGACATGCTCGCTGACATTATGACCAAAGGTGTATCTAAGATTAGGTTTGAAAAGTTCAGAAACAAGTTAGGTGTTATTGAGATCGATTGACATATCTGTCAAGTATTGTCCAACTGAGGACATGCTTGCTATCGTTATGACCAAAGGTGTATCTAAGATTAGTTTTGAAAAGTTCAGAAACAAGTTAGGTGTTATTGACATCTAATTAACTTTTATAGTGTAATCATTAAGTGGGAGTGTCTGGAACTGAAATTACAATGACTCACCATAGTTAATTAGTATACGCATGCCTGTTTTGTTATTGGTTAGTGGTATTATGTAATTAGTGGCGTGATACAGCATGCTTTCACATTCTTTGTACTTTTTTATATTCATCTTTGTATTGTTCTATGTTATTGCTGTTGTGCAGTATAAATGTTATGAGAATTATTTTAGTGGATGCTCTTGTGTCAGAGAAAGGATGCAGTTATCTTTTGCTGAAAGATTAAGAAGATGCAGTCATCTTTGCTTAATCAGTTAACACTGAAGGTTATATCATAATTATTACACAGCAGCTTATATCTTATTGAAAACAAATATTTATGTAAAAAGTGATAATTTTAGAAGCATTGTGGAGTACACTTATTAATTAAATACTAATTACTATTCGCCATCAAATTCTCTTGTCTTTATAACATGTTCATTTTAAGTCTCTTCCTGAACAAGAAACCCAATTTGCAAATACAATGTGACTGATATAATACAGTGCAAGACCAATTATATATTCTAATAGGATATTTAATAAGTAGTGTTTAATGCAGGAGTGTTTATCAGGTTGTGTTGGAAAGTTGTTAGGTTTTCATTAATTAGTTGATAGACATTATATATTAAGTAATCGAATTTGAACTTTTAATTGTTGAACATTTATATATAGCAGGGCATTGAGAAATATGCAGTAATGAGATCAAGATAAAATACGGATGATTGATAAGATAAGTATGAGAGTGTAAAAAGGAGTGATAGTGTGCGAGAGAAGCGAGAGAGAGAGGAGTGATACGTAACCGCGAATAAAAAAACTATATAAAACGAAACTCTGTGAGTGATATTTTAGTGTTGGGAAAAAGCAATTCCCGATACAGTGGCACCTCCGACGGGATGGCTGATACGCAGTCTTCTGAGGATCTTGTGAAATTATTAAAAACAAAAACCGATCTACTTCGACTTATAAACGAAGATACAAATGGGATAATAACAAAAGCTAAAATCAGCGAGGTAGAACGACAACGTAAAACATTGGACGACAAATTGCAAGAAGTGCATGATTTAAAGTTGCGTATTCAAGAGGCAATTTAAAACTGGGAGAAGGCGTTAAACCAGAAGAGGTTCGCGACATGGACAGACGAAACAAAAGCGAACGATATAGTACCTATCGAGGAGGCGATCTCTGAGTTAGAGACGGTAATTACAACTACGAAAGGAAAAGAACTGCGTCGAAAGGAGAACTTGGCCGCTCAAGTCAGAGACGAAGAGTACCAAGAGAAACTTAAATACGACAAAGAGACACTAGAGTTAAAACTATATTACGAGAGGAAAATAGTCGAAGAACAAGCGAAAAAGCCGAGCGAGAGCGGACCGAAAAAACCCAACGTGAGACTGCAAAAGCTGGAAATCACTAAGTTTGATGGCACATATAAAGATTGGTTGCGGTTTTGGAACCAGTTCGAAGCCGAGATCCAAGCAGCAGACATCCCAGCAGTGACCAAGTTTACATATCTCAAGGAATTGGTCGTGCCAAAGGTGAGAATTGCAATTCAAGGCCTACCCTTTACAATCGAGGGCTACGAGAGAGCAAGAAACATTCTCCAAACAAGGTATGGCAAATCTAGTGAAATAGTAAATAGTTATATTCAAACTATCATGTCATTGCCTAATATTCACGGCTGCCAGCCATCGAAAATACATGAATTTTACGAGACATTAATGTACAATGTACAGTCTTTGGAAACCCTAGGCAAAATAAGTGAAGTGAACGGTTATGTCAGGGCCACAATCGACAAGCTAGAGGGAATAAGAGGGGACCTTGTTCGTATGGACGATGACTGGCAGCAGTGGAAATTCCCACAACTAGTAGAGGCTTTGAGAAAATGGACGGAGCGCAACCCCATCAAAGCGGCGTCTAGCGAGAAGCATGTCACAAAACACCCGCAGTTTCCTTTCAAGCGAGAGAGGAATTTCAATACCAGGCAAGAAGACCGTGAAGTAAGAAATCCTAGAGCATGCGTATATTGTGACGGAACCGATCACAGATCTGTTGACTGTAAGAAATTTGAACGAACAGTCGATAGAAAAAAGTTACTTAGTACAAAGCAGCTATGTTTTAATTGCGCTCGACCCAATCACAAAGCATCGGAATGTAAATCACGCACGGCATGCCAAAAATGTAATCGACGCCATCACACAAGCATCTGTGATAATCGCGGCGATAACGAAAGTGACAACTCGAATGTTTTGTTGACAGCCTCAAGTGCGGGGAATGCAATGGTTACGTACCCTGTAGTTATTGTGAAAGTTCATGGCGTAACATGTCGCGCATTACTGGACACTGGGGCGGGAAGCTCTTACGCGTCATCAACCCTAATCGATTTAATCCATGCCAAACCAATTAGAAAGGAATTCAAGAGCATTGAAATGATGTTAGGATCAGTCAGCAAAGTAATTAGCGTTCATAATTTGTCCGTCAACAATCTCGAAGGAGACTTTAAATTAGATACTGAAGTCACAAAAGTGGACCGTAATGAGTTATTAACATTGAAAAATCCCCGGTACCGAGAAACTTTAGCTAAATTTCCACATTTAAACGGAGTAAAAATGCATGACAACGACGAGAAACCGGAACTTCCAGTGCACCTAATTCTGGGTGCAAGCGAGTACGCCCGAATTAAGACCGAGACCAAACCGAAGTTAGGACGTCCCAACGAACCTGTAGCCGAATTAACGAGATTTGGCTGGACAATCCTTTCCCCCGGCAAAGAAATCGACCTAACCAAAATGTTATCGACGCAAACTGCCTCTCCAGATTACGAGCAACTTTGTAGACTAGACGTGCTAGGGCTAAAAGACTCTGCAACCGGCGACCAAGAAATCGTGTACGAAGAGTTCAAGGAGCAGTTGACAAGAAATCCAGGGGGGTGGTACGAGACTAGCCTTCCTTGGAAAGGAAATCACCCTCCACTCCAGAATAACAAAGCAGGAAGCCTGACTCGTCTTCACAACTTAGTACGCAAACTAGAGAAACAAGATACTTTAGAACAGTATGACAAGATTATCAGAGACCAGCTGGAGCAAGGGATAGTAGAACGTGTGGAAAACGACGCCAAAGGCAAAGAATTTTACATCCCTCACAAGCCTGTCGTCCGCGAATCGGCCGAAACGACGAAGACACGAATAGTATACGATGCTTCAGCAAGCGCCAACCCTAAAGTACCGTCACTTAACGATTGCCTGGAGACTGGACCCCCCTTACAAAATCTTCTATGGAACGTGTTAGTTCGAAATCGATTTCATCCAGTCGCAGTAACGGGAGACCTGAAACAAGCCTTTCTGCAGGTACGAATTCGAGAGAACGAACGAGACGTCTTGCGTTTCCACTGGCTAAAAGATCTGCAAACTAAGGAGATAGAAGTTCTGAGATTCACTCGTGCCCTTTTTGGATTGGCTCCATCTCCATTCCTGCTTGCTGGCGTGATCAAGGAACATTTGCGAAGCCTAAAATCAAAATACCCCGACCTAGTAGCAGAAATCGAAAAAAGCTTATACGTTGACGACCTTATCGGCGGAGCAGATAACACAACCAAGGGTCTCGAGTTGAAGCAAACAGCCAAAGAAATCTTCAGCGAAGCTGGTTTCGAATTGCACAAATGGCATTCAAACGTGAAAGAGATCGAAGCAGAAAACACGACCGTTACGGAAGAAAATCAAACGTATGCCAAGCAACAACTTGGAGTGAAACAGGGGGAGACAAAGCTACTTGGACTCACTTGGGACAAAGTTCAAGATAACATTCAAGTGAGCATTCCCAACGATCCAGCAGCTTGCACCAAGAGAGGTATTCTAGGAAAGATGGCGAGAATCTACGATCCCCTTGGCCTAGTATCTCCATTAACCTTAACTGGAAAAACCCTTTACCGAGACGCCTGCGATCTTCGAATTGCCTGGGATGCACCCCTACCGAGTACACTGCAACAAAGATGGTTGAAGTATGAGCGAAACCTTCCGTGTCAAGTCACCGTACCGAGAAGTCTCGCTAAGCCAGAAGAGCCTATCAAGTCCATCGAGTTACATGCCTTTGGAGATGCAAGCGGGATAGGAGTCTCTGCAGCTGTATACGCGATAGTGCAACAACCATCCAGTGTTAGCAGTAGTCTTGTAACAGCGAAGTCGCGCCTGGCAAAGAAAGGGCTTACCATACCAAGGCTTGAATTAGTATCAGGGCACATGGCAACCAACCTGGTACACAATGTCAAAGAGTCTCTAGAAGGATTTCCTGTCCAACGTGTCGTGGGATGGCTAGACAGTACCGTGGCGTTACACTGGATCCGTGGAAACGGCGAGTTCAAACAGTTCGTGGGAAACCGGGTGAGAAGAATCCAGGAGAAGAGTTACATCGAATGGCGACACGTGACGTCAGCCGATAATCCAGCAGACCTTGGCAGTCGAGGAGGTGACGTAAGCAAATCAGCTGCCCTTTGGTGGAACGGTCCTGCCTGGTTGCTCGATCAAGACAAATGGCCACCAAACATCAATACCCAGGATACCAGCGAGACCCAAGCAGAAACTAGAGCAGCAGTGAAAGAGTTATTCGCTGTGGCAGTTCCAGTAGAAGACGAGTTAGATCAACTCTTACAGAAGTACGACTATTGGAAAGCGATACGAATAACAGCGAGAATGAGTCGTTTCGCGAACAACGCAAGAAACGGTGGCGAACACAAAGTGATTGGGCCTTTAACAACCGAGGAGACAAGTCGACAAGCCAAACTTTTGGTGAAAAAAGTTCAACAACGTAACGAGGAAACGAAAGCATTCAAGGAAGATCAACAACAATTGAACTTAAAAATAAACGACGAAGGTATTTACGAGTGCCAGGGTAGAATACAAGGACACTATCCTGTTTACCTACCAGATAACGAGCTATTGACCGAAAAGATCATCACGCATGCCCACAAGCTCAGCTCTCATGGGGGAGTTGGAATGACCATGGCAAAGTATAGAGAGAAATACTGGACCCCCCGTCTAAGGAGCATTGCCAAACGAGTGACAAAGAATTGTAATACGTGCAAACGATTCCGGGCAGTCGCAGTAGCAAACCCACCAACCGGAAACCTTCCCAGAGATCGAACCGAGGGCGGTGCGGCGTTCCAAGTCGTTGGGGTTGATTACGCTGGTCCCATAAAGTATTTGACAAAAGCAAAACGTGAAGGAAAGGCATACATCATACTGTACGCTTGCAGCTTGACCCGAGCAGTGTATTTGGAGTTGTTGGCAACTCAAGAAACAAACGAGTTCTTGCAAAGTTTGAAACGTCTTATCGCCAGACGAGGACGCCCTCAGAAGATCTATTCCGATAATGGCAAGACATTTGTGGCAGCGGCAAAGTGGCTCAAACAAATAATGAAGGATGAACGACTGCACGACTGGCTCGCAAGGTACGAGATAAAGTGGCAATTTAACACGAGTAGAGCACCATGGTGGGGTGGTCAATTCGAGAGAATCGTTGGCCTAGTAAAACAGGCACTTTACAAAGCAGGTGGGAGTACTTTACTCACCTGGGATACGCTACAAGATCTTTTGCTCGATGTCGAAGTGGCGTTGAACAACAGACCCCTTAGCTACGTCGAGGACGACCTCCAATTACCGGTGCTGACACCCAATTCCCTAATGTTCCACCGACCTAATCAAATCCCTACACAAAATTACCGAGATATTGAAGAAGCAGATCTCAGAAAGACCGCGAAACGAATCGAAAAGTGCAAAGATATGATGTGGAGAAGGTGGACGAACGAGTACGTGAGAGGATTGCGAGAAAGGCACAATCTTAAACACAACAACAAGAAATTTACGTTGAAAGTAGGTGATGTGGTGATCATAAAATCTGATGAACGCAACCGAAACAAGTGGAAATTAGGAATCGTGGAGGATTTGATTGCAGGACGTGACGGAGTTGTTCGTGTAGCGAAATTGCGAGCAGGTAAAAGTCACCTCGAACGTGCCGTGCAGCATCTTTACCCGTTAGAACTCTCGTGTGACGTGAGCAAGCCCAAGAAGAACACACAAGATCTTGACCCAAATGCTCAAGCATTCAGACCGAAGCGAGATGCTGCTGCAGCTGCAACGATGCGATTGCAAGACATCGCAGAAAATGAAGAGGATCAGTGAAAAAACTGTTGTATCATGAATATGGTAACTTGTCTGAACTTGAAGAACAGGTTTTTTTTTACATTTAACATTATTATAACTCGTTTTGTTAAGACATTTAATTATATTTGCACACTTCGTGTAGCAAATAGGGGGAGGGTGTTGGAAAGTTGTTAGGTTTTCATTAATTAGTTGATAGACATTATATATTAAGTAATCGAATTTGAACTTTTAATTGTTGAACATTTATATATAGCAGGGCATTGAGAAATATGCAGTAATGAGATCAAGATAAAATACGGATGATTGATAAGATAAGTATGAGAGTGTAAAAAGGAGGGATAGTGTGCGAGAGAAGCGAGAGAGAGAGGAGTGATACGTAACCGCGAATAAAAAACTATATAAAACGAAACTCTGTGAGTGATATTTTAGTGTTGGGAAAAAGCAATTCCCGATAGTTGATCAATCAATGATAAATCAATGCACTGCAAGTTTATAGAGAAGAATACTAATTAGGATGAAGATGCTTGCAGATGGATAATCGAACATATACATATACTACTATTACATCGAGCTGAGCAGGACATGCTTGGCACATATCTGAAGTTTAATCGAAATATTCTTACTTCATCTACAATCTACGACTTCTGGATTCATTAATATTAATTATGATCCATTCAAGCTTTATTTGTTTACTTTTGTCCTGTGTTATATGTTCATTTTGTGAAAAGGATTTTGTGTCCCTTGGTTGACATCAATGACGTTGTATTAACAAGATACATTATTATTATTCTAACCATTCTGCATCACATGGAATAAATGCGGAGCCCGTCATCACTCCACCAACTACAGCCGCTGTTAAAATGTCGGGAACAAAGTGTTTTTGCGGAAAGGTTTGTAAAGGAGCTTGAGGTTTAAAAATGCATCAACATAGCTGTCAGGTCATCATGGGACTAAATAAAGAGCTATTAGAAAATGTATTTGAACAGGAAGAAAGCAACAACTTTGCTGGAGACCTAGATGATATTGACACCACCTCAGTCTACAATACTAATCAGGAGGAAGAATATCCTGAGTTAAAAAAGGGTATAAATCTTCCAAAAACCAATTCAGAATGGCTAACGAACATTTTAAATTTTCACTAATGTCTAATCCACCAATCACAAGTGACGATTTAAATACATCAATTAAACTACTAAATGACACCATTTACACCTACTTTGCTGGAAACTTCGGGTTTGTGGAACGTCTGCCGGATAAATTACTCAATGATAAATACAAAAATCACAGCATAAAGGACTTGAAGAAAGCATTGAAACCACTTAAATTATCCAACTCTGATCTTGCCGAAATTAGATATGTCTCTCGTCTCGTGCGAAATAAGCTCAAATCTAACACAACTAATGATAACATGCATAATGAGTCGTTTAACCACGATAAATACTTTGAACGTAATTTCTGGGATATGTCAAGAAAATCATAAATTGCAGCAAGTTGATTCTCCCTGCCTTCAATATGGACGACTGTTTAAAGTACTTTAAGACAGTCTTGACTAAGGTCAACCCAAACAAAATATTTCAAATTCCATGTTGGATTCCAGTGTTACACGATCCCATTATTGAATTTGACCTTGAACCTCTAACTTACCGACAAATAAGAAAAATTATTCGTAAAATGAATACATCTGGCTCACCTTGTCCTCTAGATCAAATCTCCATTATAAGTTTTAAGCATTGCCCATACCTCCGAACATATTTAACCGAACTAATTCAAGCAGTCTGGCTTTCCGGATCTGTACCTGATGAATGGAAGAAAGCTTGTACTATATTAATCCACAAGAAAAATGATGCTAATCTCCCCGAGAACTTCCGTCCAATAACTCTACAATCCGTACCACTGAAAGTATTCACTTCAAGTCTCCGTAATGCAATGTTCTCTTTCCTACTCGCCAATAACTTTATCGAGCACAAAATTCAAAAGGGCTTCACCCCTCATATATTGGGGACATTTGAACATACAGCACAAATGTCTTATGTAATCAATCAAGCACAAATAAGACAGCGATCTCTCGTTATAAGCATTCTTGATCTCAAGAATGCGTTTGGTGAAGAACATCACAATTTAATCCAATCTGTTCTTGGCTATCATCACATGCCTTAACATATTCAACTCATGATTAAAAGCCTTTACACAACCTATAAAACGTCAATCATCACATCTGATTTTAACACCCCATTTGTAGAAGTAGGTCGTGGAGTTTTGCAGGGAGATTGCCTCAGTCCATTACTATTTAACCTATGCTTTAATACTTTTATCCAGCACATAAAATCGGAGAAATATCAACAGTTTGGTTTTTCTTATAAACTTCTCAACCCAATTCATTGGTTCCAGTTCGCTGACGACGCAGCCGTAATAACCGTCCAAGAATCTGAAAATCAACACCTACTAAACCGAAATGACAAACAATGAACATAAATCAGAATTAGTCTCCCTATTGACAGACCTAATGACAGAAATAGATCTGAAGCCATTACATCCGAAAAAGAAGATTCTCCTCTACAGTCGCTGCCGTTCTTTCAAAACTCTCACGGCATTTCACTATAACATCAATTCAACGTGGATTTCTGAAAACCTGGACTCAGTTTTCAAACAATACATTCGTAAATGGCTTGAGGTACCTATTTCTGGATCACTTAGTAACATTTACCTAACCAGTAACAAATTTGGTCTGAACATTATCCCCCCATCAACTAAATTCATGCAATGTCAAACAACTATCCGCAGTGCTCTGAAGTCATCTCCTAATGAATCAATAACCCACCTCTGGAAATCGACCTGTAATCATACTAACACCCAATATGATCAGTATACATCGACAAAAGAAGTAATCAAGTCATTCCGTGAAGTTCATGAAGATAAATTGGAAAATCGGTTAAAATGTCAAGGTTCATTCTTCTCCAGCATCTCAAAATTTTCACTACCCCAAGTAAATTCGATTTGGCCAACCTGTCAATCCAAACTACCAAAAAACATTTTCAACTTCACTATTCGCTACATAAACAAATCGCTACCAACCCATAAAAACCTTAAAAAATGGGGACTCTCATCCTCTGAGTGCTCGTTTTGCCTTAAACCTGAATCTCTGTTACACGTTGTTGCTGGCTGTAGTTCCCATCTTGATCGATTTACTTGGAGACACGACTCAATCCTAAATTTTATTGCTAATAACCTCCCATCAGAACATATTCAGACCATTTATGCTGACTTACCATCATTCCCTAATCCCTATATTATTACTGGTGATGACCATCGTCCTGACCAACTAACCGTTGGATATGAGACAAACCTGAGGAATAATATACAGCGCAAATATTCAAAATATAAAGAGATGATCGTAGGACAAAAGAAAAAATTCCGGCCGGTAAAGTTCATTAACCTCTCAATCAGTGCACTCGGCAGGGGTGGAAAAAATAGGCCAGCACGCGAGCGGTGCTCGCAGGAAAGTTTTCACCAGTCGCAGGAAATTTTTACTCAGGCTACGTGTTGTAAGATTTGTAATTTGAAATTTTGAAGAAAGACCCATCACACTAGGAGCTTGATTTGCCTTTAGAAATTCGCTGGCAGATAGCAAGTTTAACAGATTTTTGGCTGATAGCTTTAATTTTTCAGCTACGCCTACGGATTTAGTTATTGTATCTCTCGCCTCAACAACGTTTCAAAAGATGTTTAATGTTTATGCGAAACTTTAACGTTTGTCTGGAGCACTTGATCTGAAGAGTTTTTACGTTTTACAGTCAAAATACAAAAACCTTCCCACTTCCAATTCTGTTACTTTGTTTTGTATTTCTGTAATTTGTTCTATTTTTCTGTAGCGATTACCACTTTATCGGCAAATATCGCGATAGGGTCCGGTAGAATTTCGCTTTCCTTCATTTATATACGTGATACATCAATTTGTAGCAATGGATACACCTTTCGTTAGATTCTTTGCATAAAGGTTGCAAAATTTGGATTATGCAAAGAATCTAACGAAAGGTGTATCCATTGCTACAAATTGACGTATATAAAGGAAAGAAAGGGATATTTGCCGATAAAGCAGTAATCGCTACAGAAAAATAGAACAAATTACAGAAATATATAAAACAATTTACAGAAGCGGAAGTGGGAAGGTTTTTGTATTTTGACTCTAATTGGCTTCCCCGATCACTGGTCTGGACGTCTAGTTCTAATTGTGGAACTACTAAAAATAGAACCTGTCAAGCGCTATAGTCTAGACAATGAGACATTATTGTCTAGATGTAGTAAACAAACTTTAAAAACTTGCGTTGACTTGCGTGAAAAGTTCTAAAAACAACATGAAGAATATCAGTCATATCACTGATTGTATCGAAGACAGTGAAGCAAGCCAAGTAAGTTCAGACGGTGAAATAACTGAAGATTGTCATGGAAATGACTCAAATGAGTTGCAAGCTTGCGAAGAGGGTGATCAACAACAGGTGTCACGGTTGGAAAGCACAGATAGACGCATAGAAAATGTTACGAACCCGTCTAAAAAACTGTTTCGGAGTAAAAGCAAACGTGAAAGATGTCACATATGTCGAAAAGAGATGCTACTTCAAAATTTAAAAGACCACATGAAAAATGCCCATAACTCTACAGAAGTAAGAGTACTTGGACAGAAGTCGCTTATAGAACTATTTGGGAATAAAGTCAAAGATAACAATGTCAAACGGAAACGTGGCCACGGTGATGTAGACAAAGAGCCTCTGTTCAAAACTGCTAAAACGGCCGACTTGTCAATGTCAATATCATCTGGTTCAACACCGCCTGGTTTTGAAAATACAGCCGACGAAAGTACCGCGAAAGTAACGCTCAGCGCCTCCGGAGAGGACAATTTCGCAGAAAGCAAATCCTCAGTTGCATCTAAGCTTGACGAAATACTGACAACTGTAAAGAACTTAGAAAATCGCATGTCCTGCTTGTCCATCACACCCTCACCGGAAACGGTGGCTGTGGAGTCTGAGCTTCCTACAGTTACAGAAAGAAAGTCAGCAAGGTGAGCTTTTCTTTAAATCAAATAAGCAGTGACATAGCTATAGGAATCGGGACATAGGACCATAGGAGGTACATCCACTCCCCAACGTTTCTAATTCAAAGTTCCGCGCTAAAGTTTAAACAATGTCAATAAGGAACTCTCTAACTAGAAGTTGTTTCCTGTGCCCATGCATTAATTGTATACGTACGGACTTATATCAGTTATGTGAATTATTTTACAGTAGCTATATACTTTCCAATGTTTTCTCAAGTTTTAACTTTATTTTTACTTTTAGATCGCTTTTTGATTTAATTCAGCTTCCAGAGTTTGAGTATGACGACATCGAAGGAGTTGTTATATGTTCCATATGTAATCCACCCAATGAACCAAGAGAAGTAAATTTTCTCGGAAGAACCGGCGTATTTATGTATAGTAACGATTCGCAAAAAACATTTGAGAGCGATGAAAAAATGTCAAGACAGTTTCGGAATTTGAAAACTCACTTGTTTGACCACCTTCAAACTCCAACCCACCTCGAGAAACAAAAAGAGATTACAGATGTTGAGACTGGAAAGCAAGAGTTTGAATCAAGAAACAGGAAGGTTGGCATGAGATGTGCCCGTACAAGCTATTTACTTTATAAGACTGCTAGGCCGTATAGTGAGTACGAACAGCTTGTTACTTTAGAAAGTCACAATGGCTGTGATATGGGTAACATCAACCATTCACGTAAGTTCCCTGCTCAAATTTTGCCATTCATCGCAGATGAGACGAAGGCACGTGTTAAAAAATTCTTATGTACACCTCTTGTACAGACTGGTTTTCTTCCTCCTGTTAAAGTTATTGCTGACAAGGATACAAAGAAGCATCGTACAAGACAGGTAGTTCTTTTGGTTACGATTGTACCTGATGCCGCAGAGTTGATACAGTACATCTATCTTGACCATCCGATTGTAAAGAAACACACTGGGAAGGACGTTGCTGCATCAATAACAAATGTTCTTCAAAACTATATTGTTGCTGGACAGTTTGAAGGTGGTGGATTTGATGGTCAGTATTTTCATCTTGGCGTTCCAAAATATGTCAACGCACATTATGAGATTGACTATTCAGATACGTACTATGACTGGGACGTTCTTCATTGCTGTGGCCTTGTTGACACTCGTCTTCGAAAACTTGAGCAGTTCCAGTGGCTTTCCAACATCACCAACACTGTTTCCTCTATTTTCAAATTGTTCAACTGGGGGAAAGGTTACGAGGAGCTAGTTGAAGCATGTGATCGTTTGAAATTAGCTATACAGAATCCACAGTTCTTTTGTGAAACGAGGTTTGCCAATTCTGTACGGAAAGTCTATGGAAACTTTTTGGCTGATCTATCAGCCATCATTGCCTGCCTGGAGAATACGAAATTTGAGATGCATGACGGTGATGCGAGCGCAAGAGAGAAGGCCCAGCAAGCGGAGCAGTATCAAGTGAAAATCCAGAACAAGAGTTTTTGTCTGCTTCTTTCTGGATTGGCGGATATCTATGAACAATATGGGGTCTTGGTCTCAGAAGTTCAAAAAGTGAACCTACTACCATTTCAGCGATTTGACAAGTTTACAGATCACATGGAGAAAATGAAGAAAATGGTCAAGTGCCTTTCAGATCACAACAACTGCGGGAAGGACAAATGCTTCTGGCCACATTATCACAAGAACAAACCAGGCATTCTTAACGGCGAGTTTGTTGGCACTCAGATTATAGAGGATCACGAAGAACAGCATGTTCATAACACGAGGAGAGCCCGGCAACAAGAAGCAGATAATGCCACCACAAGCCCCGTCATGGCCGCGGAAAGGAAACTCGCTGACTTGACAACCCAACTTGTGAAAGGTTTCAGGGAAGACGTTTATAGCGAAGATGCCTTGGAAATGGTTGAAAGTACAAGATTTTTGACTGATCTGAAATCCTTAGCCATGCAGATTCGAGAGAAAGGACATATTTTATTAGGTGTTCTTAATGCCGACAAGTTTGTTCAAATCGCCAAGAAAATCTCGCGAAACGTCCGCGTTGTGAATAACCAAGAGATAGTTCGACAATACAAGATTTTCGTACGAAGACTGGCATCAAAAACAGAAGCAATAGCAATACCAGAGTTGCAAAAGATGGATAGCAAGGATTTAATAAAAAAATTCCTGACCAGTGGCGGTGAACTATACGTTGGTTGTGAGATGGTAGTTGAAGCAATAGTTGTTGCAGCAATCAAAATGACTGTTGAGTCTATTGCTGAATCAGTTATTTCGCGCTACAATACGCACAACAGTAAACTAAGAAGTATGTCCGAGGAAGCTGTGAACAATGAGCTGTGGATTGCCTGCAACGGCCCAGAGCTTGGTGGTGCTGATCGCATCTTATCTTCAGCCTTGTCAAAGTATTTCAGGCATGGAAACTGGCATTTTGTAACAAGAAAAGGAGAGCAGAGTAAACTTTATAACAGCAAAGTTATAAACAGAATCATCTCACAAGAATCGAGATTGCCCTTCGTTACACAATAGGGTGCATGTTAAGCAAATATCTACTTCACTGTGTTACGTAAAGTTTCTATTTGGTTAAACGTATAAGCATTAAGCAGTCGAACTGTTGATGCAATTGTATGATTTAAGCTAGCCTACTCAGTATTATGTGAGTTATTACAGTAGTTCACTTCGACTTTGTAAATAGATTCTATATACACCACAAAAATATTACTCTTTTTAGTCTATTTCAATAATTATAAGGATAAATGATAAGTGATAACATGCGTTTGCTGTGAGCCTGCCCACAAAATAAAACTGCAAAAAGTGCAAAGAATGATCATTCCTTAGTTAAAACCATAATCACCAATCACGTGTGCATTATACAGGTAGCTACAATTTATAGCGCTATATTTGACATGGTCATAATCTACACACTGCAGGTCTGCAGGAAATTTATAATCTTCTTACTGTGCTCGCAGGAAGAAAATTATTTTTTCCACCCCTGATTATTTCCTTCAGTTCCATTCTGGTATATCTGGACCATGAGCTAAATAAATGTACAGAGAAGGAAGAAGAATCTCTTTCTAGCTTGGTATGTGATTTTAACATAAACTGTTTTTGAGAGTTGCAGGGTTTTAGCTAGGATTTCCAATTTTGGGCGTGTTTTAAAATTTTTTGGGAGTGTACTTATCGAGTGCCGTAGGCACAATAATTCTGGGGGCTCCGGGAACACACCCCCCCCCCCAGGAAATTTTTAAAGACTTGCATCTCTGAAATGACGTTTCCAGCATTCTAAGAGCACATTTTATGAAAGTGTTCAGGTTTTTAAAAGACCTTGTTAATGTTTGTTCGTTCACTGCAACCAGGTATATCAATCATGTTTCGCTCGCTAACCAGAATACTGAGAGTAGTGAGTGAAACAAGATCTTATCAATGGTGCATTTGGTGATAAATCACATGCTTACCCAGAATAGCACTAGTGAAAGTTTTATGCATTCCAAAGTTTCAGCCAAAGACTTTTAATGTTTTATCACATAACTTGCTAAATGTGCTAATACCTTCTGTGACCAACAAGGCAACAACACATGTAAAACAGAACTTTTATTCAATTTATACAACATACACTAATACAGTAAATATAGTTTTGGTATCTAGTACCACCTGTGTGGCTTCTCGTTAAATATAGCTAAAGCAGTATCTAAATCAAGGGACTCTCCTGATGTCTTAGAATATGACACTCTCACAAGCTCGTCCAGTATATTTATCCCAAGCCTTGTTCTCAGCTTGGTTTTGACTCTGTTCTGAACGCTAAATACACGTTCAGCCTCTGCATTTGAAGGCATCGTTGTCAAGGTCAAGACCATAAGCTTGTATATTTCTAGAGAAGGGAAGAGCAAACATTGTATTCACATTATATGGCAACTGGTAGTATTAGTAAACTGTTTCTAGGATTTAGGAATTTAATATGATGCTAATGGAATAAACGTACGTGGATAGATCATTTTGTTGTCTACATTGCCACCCCCAAATAGCTTAGTAAATAATTCTTGCGGTTTGTAAAAACAGAACTTCAGCTGCTCATTTTCGTTTCGATCTTCTCCCCTGTTTTGGTAAACAAGCCGTTTGAAAAACAGGAACTCTTCTTCCGCAGCTTCTGGTTTCACCAAAGCCTGGATGACTTGATTCTCCAAACGCTTAGGTTCGCCATAGAAATCGAGCAGGTTTTTGAGATGGTCATAACCCCATCCTGCGAGTTGCTGAGGGTTTTCTGGGTAAGCAGAAGGATCAAATATCTATAAAATAATGAGACACTAGATACTACGGGATGCTGGATAATAAATAAAAGCTGATTAACTGTTTTTCTATTTGACTTCGTTTTTCAATTTACATTTGAGCTGTTAACCTTGCTAAGGCTTTTCGTCCACCTCATACTACATATATATGTATACTAAAAATATACTGAACTAAAAAACTATTTTTTTTACAATGATTGATATTAACTACCTGAAAAGCAGAAAGTAGTTGAACATTGGGGAACCTTGATGTGATGTTGTTTGCCAGGGCATCAATGAATGCTTGCCTGTCTGTCTCAAACTCTTCCAACTGATTCATTCTTTCGTTTCGATGAGGATTAGTTTTTAGGTGAACTCCTTCAAAAATTATCTCGTCAGATCCTTCTTCCACACACTCAAGAAACATCTGAAGAAACTTTCCAGGTTGATTCTTCATATCTTGTAAAGTCTCAACAAATATTGGTAGCTAAAGTAATTAAATTGATATTTATTCATCTTAGTTAGTCTCTTATGAATTACAGTAACAACTTTATAAATTTTAGTTACAGTACCTGACTTTGCAATGTAGAAAATGAAATATCTCGATACTGAAAAATTCTGCAGAGGTGATTTGTAGCTCCCACGACGTCACCCAAGAGATGGAGTAGAGCTACATATTTATACGAGGATAGCTTTTCCAAAAGTCCCATCGAAGTAGGCTCATCGTTAGCAGCTTCTTCTTCAAGCAGAATAAGCAGGGGTTGGTAATTATGAATCACTGCCTTTACTGCTTCCCCAACAGACAACCACCTTATATCAAAAATCTGAAAAGAAAACAAGTTAATCATCCAGTTTCCCTCTTCAATGCTCCAGGATCTGCTATATTAATTCATAATATTCATCTATATTAATTCTTACTCGCTTGAACTTTAGATACTTTAAGGATGGTGCAATGTTCTCGTTTCCTTCTTCAGGTGCATTGTCATGATTAATCGCACCTAGCACATCAGCCAAATTTTTAAACTTTTGAAGCCTGTTAGGTGAGTTGTTCACATGCTGGTAAATAGTGCTGAGTATAGTGGATAGTGTATTCACATTCTTTATATCTTTTGCTGCCTTGGAAACAGCAAGGTGAAGTCTGTGGTTAATGCAGTGAATACCAATTAGAAATGGGTTCTCTCGCTGCAGAAGTCCCAATACACCATTCATATCACTTGCCATCACAGATGCTCCATCTATACCTAAACCTGTGAGCTATAGAATGTATTAATGTTGTATAAATTCACAACTGTACTTCATAATCTTTTTAAAATATTATTAATAAGAGATCACTAATCTCTGGTCAAATATTTCCTGAGTACTCATTTCAATTATGTAAATGTAATGTACCTTGTTCACAGGAATGCTAAAATCTCCTAGGATTTTCTTGACAGCTTCAACAATTGCTGGAGCAGTGCCGCTTGTAATAACTGATAATTTAAGAAATGAGGTCTTGATCTTCGTTTCGTTGGAGTCGACATATCTAACTACAGCAGCTATATGCTTTTCCTGTGACCTATCTGTGGACTCATCAATACCAAGGCCAATGAAGGGCGAAGAATTAAGGTGGTTGAGCATTTTTCTCAGGAAAACCTGTAATTCCATACAATATATAATTTGACTCCACAACATTAATTAACAATATAACTACTAACTGAAAAAAACTATTACATACTTCACTTAATGAGTGGAGGAGCTCATGAAAGGATTCTGGACTTTCCTTTTTACAATTCTTTCCTCGATTCATTTGAATGATGTCCTTGACACCCTGCTCACGTTGGAACTGAAGAAGGCTTGGATATTTGCAGTTAGGAATTTCCTCACTAGAAATCCAGTAGACTGTTCTTAAAGCTGATTTATAAGAACGCGCTTCCTGTTTTTTCATTTTTTCCCTGGTTTTCACCACTGTGGATTGCGCTGGATTACGGGCCAATGCAAATCTTGCATGATCATTGCTAGCCATGTGGACAAGAAGAGTTTTTTTCCTGTAATTTGTTGAGAAAGTAACTAAAATTTTAAAAAAAATGTTGGATTCGTACGTTTTTTGCCAGATAGAAATATAATCACCTGAAGTTTTGTGTTCCTTGCTCAGCCCACACTCCACATATCTTGTTACTTCGACAAAAATCACACCACATTGTGTTATGTTGCACATCATAACGTAGCCATTCTTTATATTTAGGATTCGAAAGCCATTTTTTAGGAAATACGGGAGGTGCTCTTGCCTTTTTTCTTTGCTTTCTGGGAGGTAAACTATTCATTCTTTTAAGCAGTGGTTGACCTTCTTCCTCGTCGCTGACGCACTCGTAAAATGAAAATATTAATTTTGAAATTTTGTTATTTCAGCAGACAGTAGGAAATTAGGACAATGGCAATTAGAAAGAAAATTCACGAGGTAGCCTTTCCTAGTTCTCGATGGGCTTATCTATGAAAAGTTGAAAACGAAAGTTTTAAAGAATACTATCATTACCATATCAGAGTCCATTTCCAAGTTCACTGCAACTTCATGATCTTCATCTAGATGATCGTTTAATTCATCGACAGAATTTTCCGAATTTCTTGATACTCCTCCCACTGCTTCCAGTGCTTCGGGCCTGTTAATTATCCAAAATGATATACTGTAGATTGTAGAATCAAGAGTGCATTCAACATCACAACATGCAATTATGCAAACATGCAAATTTATTGATGTTTTGTTATTATGTAAATGATTGTAAATGCAAATGGTGTCAGATAATAATTTATTAAATATTCAAGAAAACTTATTTCAGTGTTTGAGTAGAACGTCAGTACAAGATATAAATAAAATACCTTTGGGCAGAAGTGAAAAAAGCTCTTATGTCTCGTTTCTGTGACGCCATATTGCTATAAATTCTTCCCGCGTTTTCCCGCCATGTGGCCATGTGAGACTTTAAATTGATAAACACTAAAGTTTACATGAAGTAGCCTCACATGAGGACGCCATATTTATATTTTGTAAACATCCATCAAAACCACAGATTTTATAAATTGACGAGGGTAAATTCAGTATCTTTTTTGTAAAGTATTTAGAAATAAATATTAGTGGATTTAGGCATATTAATAATAGTATATTTAAATACATATTATCGCTAATTTTTGTCTTTAATTTCATGTTTTAAACCGACAGCAACACGGCTTTATATTAAATAACCAAGCCGTGTTCGTTTTATTTTGCCGTGTTTTTCCATTTTTAGCCGTGCAAACACGGCCAACACGGCCTTCTAGCTAAGACCCTGGAGAGTTGTTATTTATTGTTATTTTGTAATTGTCAGTTGTGTGTTGTATATCGAGTTGTGTGTTTTATGATGTGAGAGACTGAGAGTGCATGGTGTAATGTTGGAAGAACACAAGAAAAACATGTAAACTATGATGTGACAAGCAATTATTTTTTGTTGTTTTAACCAATTGGCCAATCCTGAATTTGTTCATCAAATAAAACAGTTGACCAATCAAAAGATGCTTGAAAAACAATCATTCGTCAAATAGGTTTAATTACAAATAAATATTAAGGGCGATTCTCCCATCACATGTGTGACATTCAGACAACCATGTTGTTCAGGGCCTTAGGGCTTTAGCAATAAGTGGGGCCTTGAAAATTATAAGATATTTATTGAGTCTTGGGTCAACTTTATTAGCACACATAAGTACAGTAGCACAACTTTTTCTCTTCTTTGAGATACCAACTGAAGGCAAGGCAAATGTGGCATGTCACGTGTGTGACTCACAAAATATTTTTTGTTAAGTTCTCAAACTTAACTAACTTGTGAAACTTGGAAAAGACAAAATAATGAAAAATACATGAAATATTGCAGCAATTGACACTCTATTAAGATCATATACAAATTTCTGTGAAAAACTAACACTGTACGGGAAGATTATGTTTCTGTCCCGTCTGTGACAACTCTGTCACATGTGTGACCAAGTGTGAAATATATATAATAACAAGTCAAAAACTTGCTTAAAATAGCACCATATATTCTAAAACAAAGAATATAACTATATACAACAATAGTTAGCAGAACCAAAAACTATACAGTGTATAATGTGTTGTAGTTGTTTGGCTTGGAAAGTTACTTTAAACAGTTTTCATGAGGTCACTTAAACTTCTCGCATGTAATTTGCCGAAAAGGAGAAATGGCGATTAGATACCGGTACTGGGATCTCTTCCAGCTTTGCCAAAATGTCTGTTGTTGGCACAACATCTGTGTCAGTCCTTTTCCATTTGAATCTTGATGCCAGATGAATTTGTTCTTGGCAACAGGTTTCATAAACGAAACTGTAATTTCATCATCGGTTGAATCGACAGTTCCTGGCCACCATTTATCATCATAAATGACAGCAACCCAGTCTCTGTTACAACATAAACTGGCACATGCATGTGCAGTGACTATAAGTAGAAATGTAACAACATGAATTAAGACATTAAATCTAACATAGAGCAAACCTGTCATATAATCGGCCATATATAACATGTACATGTCGTTTGCACATGTACAGTATATATAAGAGTGAATACTAGTAACAATACACATGCAGTACCTGGACCCCTGGAGTTACTGTATATTGTGCTTCATAATGAATAACAACATTAGACTCAGACTCAGTTTGACCAGTGACATGACAAATCTCAATCTTGAGATCTTTGAATATACACTGGGCTGGGCATCATGCATGCTGTTGTACACACAAGTGACACAACTACATCTTATCATCTTATAAATGTTTGGTCACTCTTGTTAAATGTAGAATGCGTTCATGTAGGAAATATCAATATTTTACTGCGATCGCTGGGTCCCTTGAAACAGGCAAACATGATTTGATTACCACCATTTCCTCACTAATATGCATAAGTGTAAAATTAGTTACTTGAGAATTCTAAGGGCCTGAAATAGTCTTGGCGATCGGCCGTCTGATTGATGTCAACTTCAATATAGAGTCATCCTATACAATGGGAAAATAAAATAATTATGTATGTATTGCATTATACTGCGGGAGTAGGAAATAACTTTACTATGAAGCCAAGAAGAATTTAACTGCCACATGCAGTAACAGTCATTCACTGATTGAAAGGTTTCTTTCAATTGGGCCCTTTGCATGCCCCCTGTTGTTTGAGCAACTTGTTATAGTGAAGCAGTTATTAGTTAGCTTTACACAAAAGAAAAACATGCGCATGTGAGTCAGTAGAAAAAAATCAATTATGTCACTGCTAGCACTGTGTAACTACAAACTTGCTCATTAAAATTATAAAAAACTTGAAAGTGCAATTTCCTCTCAATAATGTGTTGGGAAAATACAGGAGACAAGTCGTAAATTTCCCATTTAAACACATTCTAAACTTGCCTCCCCACAGCAAAAAAATAATTTTCTTATTTTAAGAAAATAACTTTTTGGGGGAAAATTTTCTTGAATTAAGAAAAAATTTTCTTGGGAGGGTAACAGGTAAATTTTCTTATTAAGAACATATATTTTAAGAGTTTGTGCTGACTTAGTTCTTTTGGAACTTGACATGGTTAGTGTAGAGTTGTAAAGATTTTTGTGACTTAACAATCAGCCCGGTTAGCCAGGCCAGGTCAGCTCACATGAACAGCCCCTTGTGGTGGTAAAAGTTAAATATGGCGATAAATGTTTAGTTCCATTCAGTCGATTACACTGCATCGGCTTTGAACTTTTTGTGTGCTGACAGCTGCGCATTAAACTGTACATCAATATCTTTTGGAACATTCTTGTCTGCAAATACAAAATACCAATTTCATGACATTTAGGATAATCGACATCTAGGAAGTAGAATGCAGCCAAGAATGCGACAACAGCTTCTGGTAATCCATTTAGTTGAACATTGAAAAGGATGCCCCTTCCTACTGTAACATAGGAATGCTCCTTATCCATCAGGAGGGCAGGGACATTACCACCTTTCTTTATGTACAACACATCAGGACCTCATGATCCTTAAATAAAACAGATCAATATTAAAATGGTGTCATAAGTGATACGTAAACATGAACAATACTCAATTCTTGTTCGAAAAGAGGAGTGCAATTTTATCAAAATACAGTACCAATACACAAGACTTAAAGCGGCAGTGTCACCCGCTGCGCATCCGTTCTGCGCATAGATCAACTTGAAAAAGTTGACCCAACTTGTGGCAAGAGGCCAAAATAAGTGGTGGATATGAACATTCAAATGACACTAACTTTGCTGCACATCTGTTGTCATTGGAATTTCGCCGCAGGTAGGTTTACAATATGATTTTCAATATATTTCGAAGAGTAAACGAGCCTAATGTGCAATTTATTTTGCTTTGTATTTAGGGGAATCAGCGTCTGCAAAAATACTACCAAAACAACGACGAAATTCAAGCACATCGATTCTGGACCTTTCTGGTGGCAACTGAGTCCTGTCTTGACAACGGAAGTAGAACACAATGAGTCTCATATGGTTTGAAGAACAAGCAAACATCAGCCAAGGTATGAAGAGGACATTCACTTTTATATAGGATGTGCTTTGTAATGGGAGTAATATTACTATTCAGTTTCAAAATACGATTTTGCAAGGTATATTAGACAAAGAAAAATTGTGTCAAAAACTATAAAAAGAATTGGTTTATATTTATATAATTTACAGCATTGACCACAGGTATTAGTGCTGTATAATATTTCATATTTCCTGCTTTCAGAACCCCAAACATCTACACCATTAAAAATAAAGATCAGATGACACACCCTTTCTCGTGTTGAGTCACCTGTACAAACTACAAAGTCATGAGCCTTTCCAACAACAGAAGGACCAGGCAGTGGGATGTGAAAAGTGTGAAAGTTGAAAAAGGATTTGAGTGCATTCCAGTTCTCATTTCAAAGGCTATCCAACGAGCAACAGATTGACTGCATGATGATGGTTATATCACCTGCCATGTTTCCTTAAATGCAACATTGCTCCCCACTGTTGCACATATATCACACCAGCAACATATATCACACCAGCAACGGTGTGCACATACCAAAACAAAAATACTGATTTTTGCCATAACTGATGTAACAGTGACACATTCCAATTTTGTACAAAATATAAAAAATCTTTATTACTTACTATATACATAGGTACATAAATTAGAATATAAATTATTAAAATCAAATTCCCTTTGCTTTAGAAAGTTTACCAAAGGTTCATGAATATTATTGTTCTCTGTACCACATATAAACTCCAGTCAAAAGTCTTATTTTGAGAACTACACAAGAGGGGCAAACACTGCGATTCCCTTTGCCCAAATATCCATGCCGAGCCCATGTGTGAACATAATCCTTATTCCTCTTCTTAGGCTTCTAATTGCCAGTTTTCTCACTGTGTCTTCATCCAGTGTATGAATAAATGCCTGTGAATTTAATAATGTATTTTATAATAAAATAATGAAATGACCATCCAACAGC